CACGCACGGCATTCTTGATACAATGCTTGGCATCGAGCTTGATACTCTTCTGACTTTGCCTGTGATCTTTTGTAAGTCGTCCTGACTTTCCCGAGGCATGTTGCTAATCAGAGCAGGTGTGCGAGCCATCTACGCAATCGTCTGTTTAATGAAGATGTGGGTGTCAGTCACAAGTTCTGGTGAAGTGGGAAGCATCATCAAGAAAGAGGACCTGCAAATTGAAGCCTACACCGAACAGTTGGTTTCAATGTTCAACGCCATCGTCTCCCGTGATAGTCAGTCTCCGCATGGCAAATTCTACTTTGTTGCCAAACGCCTTCAGGAACGATTTGCACACATCAAGGCAGGGGCCGACAAGGAACAACTGCCAGATGCGGAGTACGAATCCAGGCAAAACTCGAACCATGAGTCGAAGCCGTCTACCCGCCAATCGCCTGCAAAACAAACACCGCTTCATCTCCTGTCCGAAGTTGCAATGGGCAGCAACAATGTCACCCAGCAGCAACAGCAGACGCAAGCGCAGTCTCGATCCCAGCAACAGGCTCAAGCGGCTTTGCAAGCTCATGCGCAGCACTCACAGCAAGCCATGCAGTCAAACTGGTATCCCAACATGGCTGCACAGCCAACAGCAGATATGATAGGTCTTGGCGGACAGCCTCCTTTCGACATGAACTTTGACTTTACGCAATTTGACTTGGGCACTGGTTCAGATGCAGACTTGTCTGCCTTGTTCATTCCGGATTCAATGGCAATGTGGAGTTATCCGATCGATCCGAATATGCAGCAGGGATACACTGGATTCTAGGTAGGTGGGCGAAAAGTAATGGCTGACGGTCGCGTATGTTTATGTATTATGTGAGTGTACAAACAATATGGCGTAATAACTGGAGTTTTGGCGCTTGGGAACAAAGCTTGACGTGTATGATGGATGAAAATGGGGGTGGCAGTATATGCAGACACCGACGGCTTTTTAGAGCAAATATCGAACGAAGGGAGGAGAATAAAGCTATGTAGCATTTTTTGAAAACTGAGAATTATTTTACACGCTGACTCATTCTCTAACGCCTCCAGTACCTGTTACTCAAGCTTATACTCTATCCTCCTCAAAAACCCCTCCAACCCCGTCACCTCGCCCTTGACCTGCTCCCTCGCCCACGTAACCTCCTCCTCCCCTCCCTCGCCAAAATACCCATACTCCCTAAACAACACATACATTTCATACAACTGCTCCCTAGACCCCTCGGGAAACCATCCCTTTGCAACCTCATCCCCCACCCTAACATGCCTCACTTCCTTGCCCGTAACCCTGCCCACAACCCTCGCAATCTCCTCTGGCGAATAAAACCCCTCAGCCGCCATAAGCGTCCTCCCCTCATACCCTTCTGGATCCTCAAAAACTGCTCCAATCCACTTGCCCACCTCCGTAATATCAATATACGGTACTTTAGTATCCGGGGGGAGGATGTTGTGCATTTCGTACACCCCCTTTCCCTCTTCCCCCTCCTCTTTTGCTTCCGTCTCCGAAGTGCGGCGCGGCCTCATCATGCCCGTCAAATTCTGCATGAAGCTTCCTGGCGCCACAAACGCGCTTTTGAGGGGTAACCGGCGAATGTAGAGTTCGCACTCGGCTTTGACGTCGAAGTGAGTTGCGTTTTTGAGCGCACCGCCGGAGAGGGAGATGGGGTGCGACATGGAGCTGTAGACTATATATTGGACACCGGCGGCGAGAGCGGCGGTGCAGACGGTGCGGACTTGGTGGGTTTCGGAAGACCGGGTCTGGAGGTAGTTGGGCGTGGTGGGGGTCATGAGGTAGAGGTGGGATATCCCGGTTAGGGCGGTGGTGAGGGTGGAGGGGTTGGTCATGTCGGCGTGGCGTATCTCGACGCCTTGGGCTGAGAGGGGGAGGAGAGAGGGGTGTGCGGTGTTGCGAGCGAGGGCGCGGATGGTGTAGCGGTTGGAGAGGGAGGGGGTGGAGAGGATGTGGGTTGCGAGGGAGAGGCCTTGGGTGCTTGTTGCAGGGAGGATGGCGAGGGTGTGCTTGGCCATTTTTTTTGTCCTTTTTGACGATTGAATCGGATGATGGAATGGGTGAGGGAAGGTGGGTGCTGTGATATACTGACTTTTCTTTACTCGGGTCTTCATGTTATATTTATACAAGTATCAGGCAAAGCCGTATGGAGATAGTTAATACACACCGGAGTTTATCAAGATACTGCTCCCATACTTACCTCCAATCAACCTATTTACCTGTAGATTGAACCAATAAAATCACATACTTTGTGTTTTAAAAATCGCAACTCGGACATCCTCATCTTTCTCCGACCAGCGTGCTCGGCTCCGAGCTTAGGCGTTCAGTCTGGCGTTTAGGGGTATCTCCGTTTGGTCGGGCTGGTTAACGCCGGGTGGAATGACGTTTACAATTTTTTTCTTGTGACATTTTTATTTTATTTTCTAGTAACTGGAAGAAAATCAATATAGTCGCCTCATGACTTGCTGATTTTTTTGGTTGGGGGTGGAAGTGGTGGGTTGTTTTGTCTTGTTTTTGTTATGTTTGCAGCGGGTGAGAAAGATGAGAGGTATGTATGAATTGCATTTCTACAAAATCGCTACTATTTTTCTAGTAGAAAGATTATTCCCCATCTAACTCTAGTATCCTACAAGCGACAGCTGTACAACCTTCTCCCATATCGTCTTCACTGTCCACCCGAATAATTCTTCTACCCCGCGTCTTGCATGGCGATACTCGCTCGAATCAGCATTTTCCCTTTTGCTTCTTCTCGACATAACCTCATACCCTCTCCCCAGCCAACCATAGCCTAATCTCAGGCGCCTCAACTTCATAATTTCTATCCATACCCACCCAACCATTCACCCCTCAAACTCCCTCCCACCCCCAACATCCCCCTCATTCTCAACCCCATACGCATCCTCAAAACTCGCAAGCTTAACCCCCCACATATCCCCCTCCCTTCTCCCCCCACCCTCTCCATCCTCATCCTCCTCTTCCTCACCCTCCCAACTCCCATCCCCCACCCACCGAAACGCCAATACAGCCCCATCCTTCAACCCCGCCCCCTTCGGACACTGTTTCGCACTCGCCGCCCCCTTCCCCCCCATCGCTACCGCTTTCGCTTTCGCTTTCCCCTTGCCCTTCCCTTCTACCTCCTCTCCCTCATCAATCGCACTGTATTCCCACTCCCCAAGCTTAAACCCCTCCTGCGCGTCGTTGATGTTGAGTGGACGGCCCAGCTGGATGTCTGAGGGTGAGGGTGGGAGAGGAATTGCGGCGCCGGTGTCTGGGTGGCGGAGTTCGGTTTGCTGCAGTGCGTCGTATAGGGCGGCTTTTATGGTGTCGAAGGTGTGGAGGGGGTCGATGTGTAGGAGGACGGTTGTTTTGTGTGATTTTAGACGGAGGGTCCAGGTTTGGGGGGTTGGTGTGGTCATGTTTTTTGTGTGAGGTGGGCGAGTTGGATGGAATAAAGAATTAGGGGTGAGAGATTGGAATGTCTGGTTTTATAGAATGGTGTGGTAAGGTAGTAGTTTTGTGGTGTTATGGAGGGGTGGAGGGGAGACGCGGGGGAACAGGGAGACGCGTAACACGATGTCATGCGGCAACTGTCTTGGCAATTTTATCGAATTTGGCGGACTTTTGCGCGCCGGAACTGACCTTGACCTTTTCACTTATTGATCTCATTCGCATTGAGCACCCAATTCTGGGCTCAATCAATTCACGCTTCATTGCACCAGACCGTAAAGCGAAACACAGTCGTACTGCTGAAAAATCTCCGCATTACAATCGCACCGCCCATCACCTCCGCACCACTTCCGCATCCACCGCAAACCCTCACCACCACTAGAGTCGCAAACCCAACAACCACCCACGCCCACGTAGGCACCATAAAACTATACTACACACCGCACAATGGCCTCCGCAGCGCCCTCAGAACCCGCCTCAACAACCCCACCCCCTCACAAACCCCCCCACCCCACCTCCCCCCGCCTCGACATGCCCTTCGACCGACGCCTCCTCCTAACCACAACCCTCTCCTTCCTCTCCGGCTTCACCCTGGGCTCCCTCTCCGCGGGGCACATGGCCTCTTTACGTTTCCGGGCCGAAAACGCGCACCGCCTCCCCATCTCCAACCCGGGCTGGTATCTCTACCACAAATCCAAAAACTACTACAAATGGCGCTACGGCATTGTCGAAGGGCTGCGCAAAGGAACGTATATAGCAGCGTGGAGTATGGTGTTCTTTGTAGTAGAGGAGAGTCTGGATGTTTTTAGGGGGACGTGGAGGGCCGGGAGGACGATGAAGGAGATGGAGGGTGTGGATGAGTTGGATTTACGGAAGATTGAAAGGGGAGTGAGTGGGAGTAGGGATTTTGTTAGTAGTGCGCTTGCGGGAATGGTGACGGGCGGGGTGTGGAGTGCGTGGCATCAGTTTCCGGTTTCGACGGCTGCGAGGACGATACGCTTGGGGTTGCTGGTTGGATTGGGGTTTGGGCTTGGTCAGGATGGCTTGGTTTGGGCAAAGGCGAGGTGGGGTGGGGGAAGGGAGAGTGAGAGTTGGATTTATAGGGGTGCGAGGAATAGGAGGGTTGAGGAGGAGGTTAGGATGAGTTTAGAGAAGGATTGAGGAGTGGGCGCTGAGAGAAGTTGGAGGACCGAATGTTGCATATGCTGGGCTTAATGCACAAGAGAAGCAAGCGACGCACATGAAAGCAACAGACATGGCGCAGGGCAAGTCGGAGGCAAATGCAGAGCCACAAGCTTGGAATGACTACCACCTAACAACATATCCCAGTATCAAGGCGGTACTGATTTTACGCAACAACCAAGCCAAATCAAAGTGTATAGGATAGTCTAGTTTTCATTTTAGAGCGCTCGGCGTCTCTTTTGGATATCATTTCCATGGCAGACTGAAACCATAGCTCCGTAGCGTAGGCCATGTCCGTGTCCTATCGTAACAAATCAAGCAAAAGGTTCATCTTATCCACGCCCTAGTCCTTGTCAAAGCGCACAGCCGGCTGTTCCCGAATCCAGCTCAAATCAACCTTGTGACCCAACAACTCTCTGATATTACTGACGCCATACTTCATCATGGTCGGCCTCTCGAGCGAAAGTCCAAATCCGTACACGCGCATGTCCTTGGGTAGGCCCATGGGTTCCAACATCTCTGGCCTGAACATGCCCGAGTTGCCAATCTCGAGCCACTTCTTTAGACCAGTGTGGTAGCCGAAGACCTCCATGGAAGGCTCTGTGTAAGGGTTGTATGCGGGCTTGAAGCGCAGGTTGGTGATGCCCATGTTGCTGAAGAAGTCCTCGAGGAAACGCTGGAGACCACCAAGAGTGAGACCAAAGTCGGCAATGACACCTTCAATCTGGTGGAACTCGGCCAAGTGGGTAGCATCGACGGTTTCGTTACGGAAGACACGATCGATGGAGAAGTAGCGCGCAGGACGGGGGTCTTCTGCAAGACGGTGGAGAGCCCAAGTCGAGACTGCGGTGGTATGTGTACGAAGGACAAGGCGGAGGGATTCATCTTCTTCCCATGGGTATCGGTCTGGAATTGTCAGTATGCAGATTCCAGGGTCTTGAACCAAACATGCGACCTACATCCTATTGAGCCAAAAGCACCTTCTTGGTGTACCTGCTTGACGTCTTGCCAGTATTTCTCAAAGTCTCGTGGCTTCTTTTCTCGCTTCTCGCTCTCTGGTGTGGAGAAGAGGCGTTTTGATCCGGCCTCCATGCGTTCCATGGTTGCTTCATTTGCAGGGTCTAATCGCGGCTTGTCGGCTTTTGGTGGATACGAGACGAAGAAGGTGTCTTGCATGTCGCGCGCAGGATGTTGCTGTGGTACGAAAAGGGCGTCAAAGTTCCAGAAGCCTGTGTCGACGAAGCTAGTAATGTCAGTTGGTCATGCGCTTAATTCAGACCCAGAAACTTACTGTCCGGTTGGCATCTCGACGAAGCCTTGTGAGAAGAAAATGTTGCGGAACTCCTGTCTGACCTTGTTCAGAGGATGTAATGCGCCGGCATCTTGGTTGGCTCCGAGTGCAGCAAAGTTGTATGGCTTGAAGTTTGCAGTCTTCCATGCGTCGTTTGTGAGCAGCTCGGCCGTCAGGTCGGTGTGCTCTACGGGAATTTCCTTTGCATACTTTGGACCCTTTGTGATTGTGTATGTGATGACCTTGGTAACAGTCACGAGCTTCTTCTTCTTCAGCTGGGCAAGGAGCTTCGAGTCGTCGAGCGACTGTGTGTCTTTGATACCCTGCAGTAATTGGCGGGTGGTGTCTGCGGGCTCTTCGGTCTGTATGAGGACTAGGTTGTCTCCGTCTTTCTTGATCCACTTGTTCTTGAAGCCATTGCCCTGTCCAACGCTAGCGACTTCTTTTCCAAAGATGGTCTGTGTCTCTTGTCAATTGCATGTCGCTAGTTCGTAGTGCATCCTGCACGTACCGGTAGTTCAGCGATTGGGACGCTGCCCCTCTCTTTGACCAACTTCCAAACCTTGAACTCGTGGCTTCCCTCTGCGACTATGCCCTCGGATTCGGGAGTGAGGACGACCTTTTCCGAGTCTAGTGACTTGTATTCGACCATGGATCTGCTGGCTAGCCTGTCGAGTGCGGCCTTGATTTCGGCCTGGGAGATTGCGGGGAAGTCTTCATCTGTGCGGAGGGGCTCCTTTGTGTCGAGAAGGTCGAGGATGTCCTGGGTGAGGTTTTGGCCTTTTGTTTCGAGCGGCACTGGGACTGGGCCCCGTGTTCCTGGCATGTTTGCGAGTGTGCAGCGGTTTGGTATTGGGGTTGAGTCGAGTCGTATAACGTGGGGTTGCTTGCGATGAGTCGAAAGTGGAAACAAGTCGGAGATTTGAAGGCCCGTTCGGAGGTGGGGCGACTCTGATTGGCTCACTGGCGGCGCGCAGTAGTGTACTTACTCTGACTTGATATGGAGAGAGTGACTCGTGTAAGCATCAAACATGGACTACGATGCACGTGATTCATAGTAGCTATCTAGTCACTTTTTTTTTGGCTGATCTTGTTGGTGGCTAGCTCACCAACGACTGCCAAGTTGAGCTGCGTGATGTTCCCGAATCTGCAGTGCTAGATGGGAAGCTCCGGCATGTGGCTGGTGGAGAGCAGACTAGAGTACTGGCTGCAGGCACGAAACTTGACCATGCTGAAAAGATGCAAAGACACTAGATTGTACCTTTGTTTTTCAATGACAACATGGAAGTGTCGTAGTAACAAGTGTACCCCGCCTTAGGCGAAGACGGGATAATATGGTTGTCAATAGCGTTGCAGTAGACGGACTGCAGGAGGTGGTAGTGGTGGTGGTACCATGCAGCCGGCTAGCTGTGACGCCTCGCGTGTTTGAGGTTTTGAGTGTAGAGCAACAAGGCCAATTGGGCTTCAGATCCCCACCAGTTCCTATGGAAACTGGGGCCCAGTCGAACATGCACGCGCAAGAGGCCGCGCAAGACTGCAGCGCATGGGGCAGGCATATCAAACAGCTGGGCATACTGTAGAGCAAGTGCATGTTGTTGTTGTTGTTGTTGCAAGCTATCATCTGTCTTTTGCGCAACACATGGTTATCGAGTGAGAACATGTGTACATATGTGAGTATAATAAGTAAGCACCGATCGTGTCTGTGACTAGTGTTTTATTGGCTGCGAGGGTACCATGGACGGCCAAGGATCGGGGAGGCATGGAGGCTGGAAAGGTAGAAGTATTGACATGGCATGCGGCTCGGCTCAAAACAGCAGGCGGAAGCAGGCTTATTGCGAAACTCGGCATAGTGTATTGAAGGCAGGGGGACCGAGTAGGCAAATGTGATTGCGACGGCGTCGGCGCTTTGAAAAGGCCAAATGGCCGCGGGCTGCTGGCTTGGCTTCAGGCGGCCGGGTCATGCAGTGTTTTGCTAGGACTAAGTAAGGGCATATCGGGGCGTGGGTGGGGATGGTAAGCTTGGTGGGAAACAAGGCTGGCTGCTGGCGCGCCTTCGTTGTTGGAAACGGCGGGCAGAGGCTTGAGCAAGCATGGGCAATTCTCAGACGGGGCCCCACCCCTGGCCATGCCTAACGTCATGTCACCTTGTGTGGACAGCATCATACTGACAGTCATGCAGCAGGCAAAGAAGTATTGGAAGGGTGGGGGTATGTCGCAAGGGGGCCGGCGCTGGGTCAAGGTGAAGGTATGCCTGAGGTCGGCAGACAAACAACAGCAACAGCTTCACCAGCCTCCCTCCCACCCTGCAGAGGGCAATAACTTGTTGGATGCAGTAATTCCACGCCCAAGGGATAGCTTATTTTCCAGTCGGCTTGGCTTCCTCTTGGCCGTATACTCTCGCAGCAGAGTGCCAGTAGCTAACGGGCGCTGCAGCGAGGGATTATTTTTAGGCCGTGCTGTCGTGAGCGGAGCGGCGGTGCGGAAAGGCGAGGTGGCGGCAGTGAACGCGCGGCCCAGGGGGAGACGCCAAGGGCAAGGCCAGCTCTGTTATGTTGCACCACGCCTTTCTCATCCACACCCATGATGCACATGCGCCGTCGTCGATAAAAGCGCCGATCCTGCATTCGTCGGCGGCACGACGTCACCCTGCGAGAGGAAAAAAAAATTGCTTCCCCATGCCCTTGCTGGGCTGGGTCGGGGCGACGTTGTTGAGCCGGGAAGAGCACTGGCGGTTGCGCAACGAGCTGAGCCCATGCCGCTTCGAGATTTATGCAGCGTCCGCTACAGTGCTCTGATAGCTGGGCGCTGTGTGATTTGTGGCGGCCTGGATCCTGCCAATGGCCCAACACCACCACCACGCTTGCAAGGGGAGGTGGGGGTTGGCGATGAGAATCAGCAACCGCAACAGCTGCAACACCACAAACAGCTGCTACTTTACTGTATATACTATATATGTGATTATCGGAGCAATCATTCGTGCCATCAGCATCCACCACGCGGCGGCGGGCTCTGCATTTGGGCGGCCTCGTGTTCCGCCGGCGCACTAGCCGATCATTTCGCCGCTCCAGAATTCGGTGCAAGGCAGGTGCAGTGCAGGTGCTTGCCCCTTGCGAACTAGCGTACTAGCCTCCGCAAGCAACAAGGGAAAGGGAAAAGGGTCGCTCCTGCTCTGCTCTCCTCAGCCCGCCGTCTCTCCTCCAACGCCTCCAGAGCGCTGCCACTCGTCCAGTCTCTGTCTCCCTTCCTACAGCCAGGACAGTCACTCGTTTCACTCTCCGCTGCCGTCTCAGCTGCATCACACACATCTCCTCCCCCATTCCCTCTGCCTGCTGCTCGCCCGGCCGAGTATCTGTCCGTCCGACTCGTAGTTGCAGCATCCAGGAGCAACAACACACAAACACCACCACCACTGCCAGCCGCCACAGCCCCCGCCACAGCCCATCACCTCCTTCCGGACTGCATCGCCTCGCCTCAGATGCGATAGGCACCTTCACGCGCTCCACAGCACATCCACACATCGATCCTTCGCAATGGCGTCGCGATTCAACCCAGGCAAGCTCTTCATCCGAACGCGCTTCAACTACGAAAAGCTCCCCGGTCAGGACAGCCAGGGCTCCTCTCCCCTGCCCCTCTTCAGCACAAAGTCATGGGGCAAGAAGTATAGCCAGCCCGCCTGGGCCAGCCGCATCCAGCGGCCCCGTCTGTCTTTTGCGCGTCTCATTACCCTCGCCATCACTGTAATACTCGTCTTCTCCATGATTGGCACCGGCGTCTACAGGAGACACCGCTGGCACGCTCAGCCTCACAAAGGCGATGAGCGCAAGCAATATCACTGGGAACACTACCCTCGGTAAGCATCGCCGTCTTCCCAATCCTCTAGCTGCCTGCTGACCTATTAGCCTCAACGGCTTCTTCAACGGCGTTCGCACGCTTGTCCCCTTTGGCGACTGGGTGTCCGAGCAGGACTATGTCAAGTACTCACAAAGCCCAAATCCCGAGGATAATGTCAAGCCCAAGTGGCCACACATGTCCAAGGAAAACCAGGAGCCCCCAATGGACCCTGTACCCTTTGACCCCTACAAGTTCGACTCGCCCCAATACCTCAAGGACCACGACGAGGTTAAGACCTGCTACCTCGACGAGGAGGAGAAGGTCGACCTGCCCGACATCTACGCCTACCCCGGTATTCCCCAGAACATGACTGCACCCTTCTTCGGCTCCTACGAAGAGATCGGTTTCGATGACAAGAAGTGCTTTGATCGCTTCGGCCGCTTTGGTCCCTACGGCTACTCCTACTCTCGCGATGAGGGCGGTCTTGAAATGGACGGCAAGTCTGAGAAGGCTGGCGCCGACAAGATCTGGAGCTGGGAGAAGAAGGTTGACTACCGCAAGGTCAACTGGGCCTCTGCCATGAAGCGCTGCCGCGAAAAGAACGCCCACCGCTTCAAGAACAACAAGACGGACGAGTCTGCACCCGCCAAGAAGAAGGTGCCTCGCCACGCCTACGTTCTCCGCACCTGGACCGGCTACAAGTACAGCGACTACCAGATCCTCACCCTGCGCGCCATGATCAACGAACTTGCCCTCAAGTCTGGAGGCGAGTACGATGTTCACTTCCTGCTCCACGTCAAGGACGACAGCCTGCCCATTTGGTCGTCTGAGGAGATTTACCAAAAGGTCATCGAGGACAACCTCCCCAAGGAGTTCTGGGGCATGGCTACCCTGTGGTCCGAGCAGCAAATGCGCATGTACTACCCTGAGCCATTCCCAAACAACGTCTACAACCACGCTAAAGCCCCTGTTCACTCTGTCTACCGAAGTGCCCACTTTGCCATGCAGTGGTTTGCTCAAGCCCGCCCAGAGTACGACTTCTACTGGAACTGGGAAATGGATCTTCGTCTTAGCGGTCACTACTACGAGTTCCACAACAAGATTGGCGAGTGGGCCAAGAAGCAGCCTCGCAAGGGCCTGTGGGAGCGCTCGTCTCGCTACTACATTCCCGAGCTCCACGGATCATGGAAGAACTTCACCGAGATGGTCGAGGAGGAGCTCTACAACAGCGACGAGAAGCCAGTTTGGGGTCCTCCCAAGTTCCCCAACACTGGTATGCTTCCCAGCCCTCCAGAGGTCGAGCCACCCCACTCCTATCTTCAGGACAACTACGAGTGGGGTGTTGGTGAAGAAGCCGATATCATCACTTTCAACCCCATCTTCGACCCTGCCAAGACCAACTGGGTGTTCCGCGACGACGTTACCGGCTACGATCTCGAGCTTCCAGAACCCCCGCGACGCTGCGCCATCATCACCGTCTCGCGTCTGTCGAAGCGCCTCTTGGACCTCATGCACCGCGAAACATACCTGATGAAGCACCACATGTTCCCCGAAATGTGGCCACCGACCGTTGCCTTTCACCACGGACTCAAGGCCGTCTACGCCGCACACCCCGTCTACTTTGACCACAACTGGCCTCTTGAGATTCTCGAGGGAACCTTCAACCGACCCCCGAAGCCCACTGACAGCGTCTTCGGCTGGGGTGAGCACAACCAACTGGGCAACAGCTTCTACTACAACGCTGCTTTCTCGTCCGAGTGGTGGAGAAGGTGGCTTGGCTCGCGCGAAAACGACAAGGGCGGTGCGGCCGAGGAAGAGGCCGGCACAGGCCGGTTGTGTATGCGCAACACACTCTTCCACCCCGTCAAATACGAGAAGGGGTCTGAGTGACTTCGCTTGCTTCGCAAATATACCCCTTTAATCGCTGGCTGTTGCGGACTCGCTGTTTGCCGACTGGTTGTTCGGCTCCGCAAACGCGGCTGTTTATAGATTCTTGTTTACCTTTGGGTTCTTGCATCGTCCAACGTTCACCATTGTGGCGTCTTACCATCGGGCGGCGTATCCAGGCGTTTTTTTCATCTTCGTTTTCTTTGTCTCTCTTTTCCCCAGGAATATTTGATTGTGCGCACAGTTTCCTTGGTCTCTCCGGCACCGCACACGAGCTCCGGAGTGTGTGTTATCTTCTCAGCGTATACCTTTTATTTGACACGAAAAGTCGCGGGAAGTGTAATCAGCCGACGAACCCGGCGTCCGCTCATTTGGCCAGCGTTTCGGGTTGGGCTACAAAAGAAGCCTGTTTCGGATTGTGGAACGGGGAGGGCAGTGGGGGATATGGGAGTTTATTTGTCCGACGTTCAGTATGTTGATATGTGTAGATGATGGGAAACTTGTACCCGGGCTCTTTTATTCCTACGGCGAACCCCACCCGAGGCTGGTCTCTGAACTGTGGTTGTACATTTATGAAAATGCAATACAAATAATCACATAATGTCCGAAATAAATGACTTGTTTGGTTCCTCATTGTCTTGTGATGGTTGTATGCATTGTTCTAGTATGTGTTCATGGGTAGTGAATGGTACACGTCGCGGCAGTATGTTAGTTGACTGTACCGCACGGCACGCTCAGGGTTTGGATGCAAGTCACCCGATGATCCGAAGCGGATATGCTTGCGTGATTGGCGCCGTCAAGTTCATGATGTGCTTGTCCGGATCGCTTCATGCCGGATGTTCCCACTTCATCGTGAGATCTTTACGCCTCCTCGGGTCCTCGAGGATTCCTTCGATGTCATAAGTACATGTACATTCTCGGCTAGACGTCCACTTACGTCGAGGTGAGGTGTTTGCCCTGTCGTCAGGGGTGAGGGCCCGCACGTGCTCGTCCTACGCAAAAGCCCCCAACACTCGGGGGTTGCAAAAGGTGGATCACGCATTACACCCACAACCTTGATCTCCCTCAACTGACACGCGGCTGTCCCCGCACACTGCTACCAGCGTTGTTCATTTTTGTACTAAATAAGCATTGACGGGTTCTCCGACGGCACCAGCTCCTAAGGCTTGACCACCGCTTGACCATGAAGAGTAAAGGTGGGCCGGGAATAGACGGGGGGTGACGACGCCTAGGCGCATCCTCGATCTGCGCGCCGTGTGTACATGAGGAGATACGCACGCTCAACATGTGAGCACGCGATAACCTTCCCTCGACCCTCCCTTTGTCATTGTTTCTTTTTATCGGACGGATACCTTTGCCGTAAGCCACAGGCTTAGTCGTCCATGGTGCTTTCTGTTCTCCTGTTCGCACCGTAGTCGCATCTGGGCGTTCCCAACATTCTTATCCAGCCATCCACCCATTGGACAATGCGCCTCATACAAACAATTCCGCAGTCACTATGAGACTTCCGCTCGAGACTCTTCTCCTAATTGTGCACCTCGTCCATCTCACCACCGCCGTGCCCGTGCCCGTTGCTCGCCGCAGCACATCGTTTCGCGCCCTCCGTGGCTTGACGCCACTGGTCAACTCCTTCTCCAATGGCCACACGTACAAACACGCACCTACAAAGTACTTTTACGAATCCACGTTCAATTCGCACTACGATGGGCGCTTTGCCTCTGCCGAGCTTCCCTTCCAGGAACGGGTATGGAATCTACGGCTGATGCTCAAAGCATATACAGAGACAATGGACCAGATTGGAATCCAAACATGGATCATGCACGGGTGTCTGCTTGGGTGGTGGTGGAACGGCGGTCTCATGCCATGGGACAAAGACCTCGACTTTCTCGTCGAAGAAGAAGGCATGCAAGAGCTAGGCGAATGGTGGAACATGACCGTCCACCACTTCCCCGCCGCCTCTCTCGGCCTCGACGACGCCCGCTCCGCCGAAAGCGACCGCTGGGCCAGCGAGCGTCACGCCGCGCAAGACGACGAGTCGGACCCCAAAGAAGACGACACCGCCCGCTCCAAGCGCCTAGCCTGGGAACAAGAAGTGCATGAAAACGGCAAGAAATACCTGCTCGAAGTCAATCCAAACTACAACAACAAATCCACATCAGACAAGTACAACCTCATCGACGCCCGCTGGATCGACACCTCCAACGGTCTCTACATCGACATCACAACCCTCCACATCGCCCCCCTTTCTTCCGCCCAAGAATCCGACCTTAACAACAACAACGAAGACGACCCTTTCTCCCTTACCCCATCCTTCACAACCCACCCCTCCCCCCACGAACCAGACCCATACTCTGAAGAAATCCAACTCTACGTCAAAGACACACACGCCTACCTCTCCTCGCAAATATACCCCTTGCGCACTTCCTACCTCGAAAAAGTGGCCATCAAAGTACCTTTTGCCTACGAAGAAGTTCTCCTAGAAGAATATGGTAGCGAGGCGCTCACCGAGAGTTGGTATAATGGGTATGCGTTTGAGAGCGAGAAGGGGGTGTGGGTTGAGCGGAATCCGTCGCTTGAAGAGGCCAGGTATTTTAGGGCCAAGTCGGGGAGGATAACAGGGAGGAGTGCGGGGACGGGGAGGATTGGGCATGGGTGGATGGGGGAGGGGAGTTTGGGGAGTGCTGTGGAGGGGGAGGGGGGTGCATGAGATTGTTGTATACATGAGGTAAAGAAAGATTAGGATATATATACATTGGATTTTTTTTGAAGAGATATTTATGACATGGATAACAAGCGGCATTTGGGGTGTTGGTTTTTTTTTACACAATTATTCAGTTAAAAAAAGTTGACAAGGGGTTTTTTTTTATCCATGGGATTTAAATATTAGTAAGACAACATGGAGAAGATGAAAAATAAAATCCCAAAAAAAAACTTTTTTAGATTTCAAATCTTTTGCACATCATCCGTAGTGGCATTACTATAGTACACAGATGTAAACGAAAGAAAAATAAACGCCATCGCCATGCTCATCGCAAACTTTTTAACCCCCCCCCCCAAAAAAAAACAGCGCGACAATTTTTTTTTATAAAGTCTCAAGGGACAAGAAACCACCCTCTCTCTCTCTCTACATCCTCCGTCCCCTATCCTCCTCCTCCTCCTCCCACCCATTCACGGCCACACCGCCATACCCACTCCCCTCACCCGCACTTCCCCCCGCCGCACTCGGAATAAGACTCTCCCTGGCCTCCTGCGCCTCCTCCTCTACACTCAGCCTCTTCAAACCCCTACTCTTCTTCCCCACATAACCCACAAGCGCAATTCCGACCAGGAGCGCCAGACTAAGCAAGAGAACATTAACAGGAACAGGATCATTATTGAAGATTTTATGAGTGGCGGCATCGAGTGCGGATTGAGAGAAGTTGAGGAGACCAGCGAGACAAATGATGAGGCCGTAGACTTTGCCAAAGGTGGCGAAGCCGAAGACTTTGGCGGAGTAGTCGCTGTTTTTTTATTCGTGTTAGCTCACGTGCACTTGGACCTTGAGGAGAGGGGGAGAATGGTTCAAGGTAACAGTGTGAAAAGAGAAACTTACGAAACAGCAGTATAGTACAACGGACGATACAATACGAATAAAACAACATTAGCATACGCAGCCCATGTCTGCGCAATGACGCCCAAGACGCCAATTGTCGTTGCAATCGTGACCAGCAATGCTAGCGTAAATACCGTGCTTGTGTTATCCAGCAAGAGCCCGATAAACGGGACGGATAGGACACCGCCGACAGGAAGAGCAACGTCGAAGAAATTGTTGATGGCGACGGCTTGGGGGTAGGAGTGGAAGAGGTAAGTGTACTGCGAGCGGATGGTAGCGACAAAGTAGTTTATACGCGTCATTTGGAGGACGGTGAAGAGGGTGATGAGGATGAACCAAGGGGTGCGAATCTGCTGGGAAGCACTCAAACCATGCAGTGCGCCCCAGACGCCTGAGATATCCTTCTTCTTTTCCTCAGCCTTGGCTTGGTCGAGGCCGTTCTTTGTGCCGAGCAGCGATGTGATTTCGCTGACGATGCTGTCGCGGTGGGCGCGGCGGGCGTCGCGCAAAGATTGGACGGTTGCGGCGTCTTCGATTTCGTCGTCGGAGTCGTGGATGACTGTTGTTTCGTCGGCGGTGGTGACGAGTTCGCCGACGGTTTTGTACGAGACCGAGGGCATGAAAAGGACTTGGACGAGGAAGATGAAGGCGGGGACGATGAGGTAGAGGAGGAAGAAGGATTTTATGGAGAAGGAGCCGTGCGTGCTTTGGTAGATGAGGCGGTAGACGAGGAAGACGGCGCTCGAGGTGTCAAAGGCGCCGGTTAGCAGCGCGAGGATCAGCCCGGAGTACTGGGGGAAGGTGTTGCTGAGCTGGAAAGACGAGATGAAAGTGAAGGGTCCGCCGAGCGCGAGAAAGAGGTAGCCGGGGATGTATGCGTCAAAGGGAAGCTCTGCAGCGAAAGCAAAGAGCAATGCGCCAATGGTGATGGATATCGCACCCGTTATACCGCAAACTCGTGGTCCATAGCGATCCAGAATCGTGCCAACAGGCAGCGCGACAACATTCGTCGACACAGCCGCAATCGTGAACATGAGATTGAGCCTGAGCTCCTGCTCATAACACACTCGAACATCGTTATCCAGCTCTTCCTTGCTACAGTAATCTCTGTACACTCCTTCTTCGAGCAATACCGGCTTGATGGCTGCATACCCGAACACGACGCCTGCAGCGAAGAGACAGTACACGACGGCGAAAAACACTTGTACTACACGGAGTATTAGCTTTCAGTATGTCCCACGGCGCGCGCGTCCCTGCATGTCGACGTACACAGTCTTTTCCATTGCGGCACTTCGAACGCGCCGATGGTGGGCTCTTCGCCTGCTTGCTCTGTCCATGTGCCAACGGGGTTGAAGCTCATTTTGCGGTGCCGTGAGTCGGGGCTGGCTTCTCGACTCCATGGCTCATGCTCCTCTATCGACGTTACGCGTTGCGAGAGCGACATTGTGGTGGTGATGCGATTTTATTCTCTTTTTCTCTTGACAAAAGACCCGTAGAGCTTCTCTTGTTTGTGTCTCTCCCAGTGTCTTCCCAGCTACGCGTTCCCCCAAATCGCAGTTTTTCCCTTCTTTCGTAGCTGGCACGGAACAAGATCCCGAGAGTTTGTGAGCGACTATGTAGGAATGACGTTTTTGCGGCACCAACCCCCAGTCCCCTTGTGCCCTGAAACTTTAACCGCGGAATGGCAAAACAAAAATATAGATTGTGCCAACCGCAGCGGGTTTCGGGAGCAAAGACCCTCTTCAATTGGATCAGATAAAGATGGAAGGAGAAAAGAAAATCTCCTGTAACACATAGGGTCCCTTAAAAAGCGAAAGGGAAATCAGGGTTCTATATATGCAGGCGACACAGACCGAGTGTAGAAAGCGGGGGATGCGGAGCGACATGCAGCCGGCAGTACGCGCGCTGTCGTTGTCCTGGGCGTTGTGTCGCGCGTGACCATATTTCGCGGTGCTTTCACACGGATCGTCCATTATGCCGTATAGCCACGTGCTACTAAGCCCGTCTTGTATGTAAGTGATGCGTTCATCATACATTTGATCGGTGGCCATTCTTCAGCTCGAGAGTTGGTATGTAGCTTGAAAAGTGCCGTTGACTATGGTAATGATAGAGGTTCCACAGAGGATGGAGAGGTCCATCCTAAACCTTGTTGCTGGTTGATGCAGGTAGCCAATGGCGATGCAAGTCTGCCGCGGACAAGGGGAGTTTTGGTAACCGTGCAGGACGGAATGGCGTCAAATTTTGCGCTTCTTCACCATCGCTGGACGCCGATGCGCGATGGACTTGGCCATCGGATAACTGCCGAGATAACGGTGATTGCGTTTTTCGCGACAACGAGTGTGCAGAGATTTTTATTGAGTTGCGAAGGAACGGTCTGGATGCTTTGGATGTCTGGTTTAGGAAATCGTTCTTGCCAAGATTTCAAGGTTCACTCCAGGTCTTGCTTGGGTCTGAGTTTCCAGCCGTCTTGGACTCAGGATGCCCATCCAGTTGAAGAAGCTGTCGAAATGCGGTGAAAATGACTATATTCGATGATATATCTAGAAGAATTGACATGTTGACTGACCTTATTGGCATGTGTACGATTATGATTATTCACGAGACGTACTAGTGTATCTCAAAAAAATTCATCAAGAAAGAATAATTTAAAACAACATCACACAGGCAGCAAATGCATGGAATATTTTCATTTCTTTCATTCTCTTCGTATCTAATATCATTCCAACTATTGGATACATAGTACCAGGCGCATGCCAAAGCATCATTCAACATTCAAGTCAGCAAAGCCCGTGTTTCGAAAAAGAAAGTGAAAGAATACACCTTCATCTCTTCGTCTTCTCATCCATGCGCACTCATCAGGGATATATATGCAGGTATCAACTTATAAAAGTAAAGAGAAAAAGAAGAGCGGCCTTTCAAAGAGGCCCCCGAAAAAAAGGGTTAAAAAGTAGAAGAAGAAAAAAAACCAGAAAGAGGTATACCCATATTCCTAAGAGTCCCGGTCAGCACTTCCTCACCCAAAACACCAGGTCATGTGCATTCCGTGCATGCTCCCATCCAACCATCTCTTTCCCTAGCAACAACCCGAAAAAAAAACGCCTACAAAACAGTAACGCTAGCGTACGCAATCAAAGATATACACGATTACCCTTCTTTCCTCTTATACCATGCTAAATCCACCTACTCATCGCGGTAAAACTTCTTGAAAATCAAATGCAGGAACAAGTTGACGTTGACCCGCGCAATACCCTCACCACCGCCCTTGCCGGCCTCGCCACCAAAGAGATTCATGAACTGGTGATTGTCGAATTGAGCCTGTAGCAGGCCATCAAGCGGGACTTCTGCAAACGCACCAGGGATCATCATGGACCCTTGCGAACCCTGGATCTCAAAGATACCCGTTTGGTTGCTGGAAATGGTAATATCTAGACGGTCCCATTGGCGCTCGTGGTAGCCTGACCAGGAAATGAGAATACCCTTTTCAGCAAGGTTGCGTGCAGAGTACTTGAATGACCCAAAGCGGTACTCGCGACCGCTGTTCTTCAGTTCACGCTGGTGATTGTATTGGCGGGTGAAAGGGAGCAAGAACTTCTTCTTGCCCTTCTTCGACTGCAGCGTAATCATGGCTTGTTCAATGTAGTCGTTGTACGATTTCAATTGAGATTCCAGGAAGTGTGCCTTCTCGTCGAGCGCGGCCAGCGTAGTGCGTACACCTTCCAGTTCCTTGGCGCGTTGGATACGTCTTCGGTGCTTGGTGCGAATGTCGACTGCAATGGCGTTGAGGAGATCCTGGTAGTTGTTGGTGTGGGAGATGCGGCCTGCGCGTTGAAGTTGCACCATGTTCTCCAGGCAGTATTGTTTGAGTGTGGTGTAGTCGAGATCCAGCACAGAGTTTGCGCTCATATCTGTCGTGTAAGTAGAAGCAGCCGATGAGCGTACCACGTTGTTTTGTCGTCGCGAGCGGTCTTTCCGCTGAGCAATAATTTCTTCACTAACAAGAGCATCCCATCGGTCCTCGTCCTCAGGCGTGACAGGCTTGCACATGATCTCTGTGAGGTTGGCGCCAGTCTGAACACGAATGATGTAGAGGACGTATCGCTTGGTTTCCATGAAGAGAGATTTGATAGCAGAGTCGGGATCTAGGTTGATTAGCAAGCATCTTCGCATCAGGACCGGGATTCTTACCTTCTTGTTCATGATATTTGGGGTTAAGAGTGAGAGTTATTTCACTAGCGCTGACATGCAACAATTCATTCTCGTTGTTTTTTGCGCTACCGAGCTCACGGACAACCTCGCGAAGTGGGTCGTCTTGCGCAGGGCAGAGGTTTGGAAGGTCGTCAATGACGAGGTTGTGGATGGCAAAAACGTCGGCGAGCTTGATGTAGAGTGTAGGTTTGGTTCTTGCAAAGAGGTCGTTGAACTCGTCAATCTCGAACTGGGCCTCAGCAGGGCGGACATTGATCATGTTCGACCAGATGTCTTGCAGGCGGTCAATAGCTTCGGTAATGTAGCTGTTGAGTGGTTGGAGATAGAGATCATCACCACCGAATAGCTTGCCGACTGCGATCTGACCAAGCACTTTATTAACTGCACCAAGGTTCCGGTTCATCAGAGGCGACAAGCCACGGTCAACCACACCCCAGTGCTGAGGTTGCAGCAAAGCAGGTTGAATATAGCTTTTCCAGACCCAGTGACCAGTAATCTGGAGGAGCTGCTCTTGTGGTTCATACGGGAACTTGAGGCGAAGTTCTTCGAACATTTGTTGCGCAATGTATCGTACACCAAAAGGCATGCGATGGAGGACTTCCTCAAACATTGTGAAGTACTGGTCGGCAACATCTCGGAGATCTTGGAGGTTGTGAATGAAGGTTCCACGAGTCTCAGGATCCTTCAAAGCTACATCTCGCGAGACGTTCGGGTCACGGTGGCTTCGCTGGCCAGTACGGAGCTCTTCGTTGTTGATCGCTGAGCGGTAGATTTGCATGGGGTCGCTCTCCAAATCCAGATGCTCATTCTCGATAATGTTCTCGCGAATGACGGAGCCCAAAACATCCTTCAAGAATTTACGGTCGCGAGGTGATCGAACATAGTTGGCGAAGAGTTTGGCCCAGAAAAAGTTACCGCGAACGAAGTCGTGCAATGTGCCACAGCTCTCAATCTCCTCTTTCAGCGATCGGGTCAAGAGTTTCAGTAGCCAGTATTCTTCCCTACGCTTCTGGGCAAGTCCAAAGAGACTCATGGTAAGTTGTTCGATGCGCTTAGTATCACCCTCGGGAAGGTTCTGTTCACGCAGGCGCCTGAAAAGCCTGGCCATGTACTGAGGTTGGGTCTGTAAAATGAAGAACAGCTCTTGGTACTGCTCAAGCTTCCGGCGGGAGTTTTTGTTCAGGGCCTTGAGATCGAAGGGGTCTTTGGACGAGATATCTTTGCTGCTGAGAAGAGTTCCGACATTGCCTCCATAATGTTTCTGATGCTTGACGACCTCATCCAGAGTGATCTTGTTCTTCACAAGCAAAGCAATCTTGATGTCGAGTTGATCAACATACTGCTCGGCGAGCTCGTTTTGTCGTACATGCTGGACGACCGTCTTTCGCAGACGCTCAAATTCTGACACAGTGTTAGCATTTCTTCATCAGGACATATGGGCTATGGCTTACCAATTTCTTCGTCAAAGTCAATGTCGTTGTCGTTGAGGAGATGTACAAAGTTCTTGACAGTCGACACTGGTGGGTTCGCTCCGCTAGTCAAGCTCTTGTACGCCTCACCTTGCTGACGACCACGGATAAAGCTCTGTACTTTGATGACTTTTTCCATGTTTTCCCTGTAGAATTGCTGCTTCTCTTGGAATCTTCGTCGGATCAACATGCCACGAGCTATGTTCTGCAGATCAATGATGGCTTCTTCATGCTCTTCCGCTTGACCAAGCTGCAGACCAATTTGCATGCGCTGCAGCATGCCACGGGCTACAGCCTGAAGGTCAACAATCTCGGGTTCTTGAGCGTTGAGCTCACAAAGCGTCTCATATGTTCTTTGACGCTGCATGAAACCACGGCAGGCAGATTGCAGATCGAGAATAGCGGGCTCCTGTGCCTGGAGTTCTCCAAGGTCAGAAAAGTGTCTTTGCCGCGCAACGAAACCACGAATGTGAGACTGAAAAGACAGAACATTGCTTTCTTGGTCCTGAAATTGTGCAAGCATGTTGGCAATTTCGGAACGCATCTTTCCTGCTCGCGCCATAGATTGCAAATCCGTGATTTGAGGCTCCTCTGCATGAAGGGCTTCTTGGATCTGCTTGACAGAGTTTCTCGCAACATTGGCACGAACGCGAGACTGAAGACCGGACCACTCGACTTTGGTGCTTACCAGGTTCTCCTGTACTGCAGCATTCTTGTTTCTGGCGAGGAGGCCTCGCATGGCAGACTGTAGGAGGGTGATTGTAGATTCCTGTTGGCGAAGGCCTTCCTGATCTGTGCGCATTGATTGGCGGAGAAGCATGGCTCGCGCAGCAGCTTGCAGCTGAGCAACTTGAGGTTCACTCTGCTGCAAGTCTGCCCACTGTTGATCGACCTTTGCTCGGACAAGGGCACCCCGGATCATAGCCTGCACGTCGACAACAATCGGCTCAGTGTTTCGGGTTCGTTCGTATCGTTCAGCAACACGCTTACGTTCCAATGCTCCACGTATCGCTGCTTGGAACTCGCGTATGCCATGCTCGTGACGCTCGATTTTTGACTTTGTGTACTGAACTTGAGCCCTGGCCTTGCGTCCACGGAACAGGTTCTGTATTTTGAGCACTTGTGGAGTCTTGTCCTGCCAGTACTGCTCTTCGCCCTGTAGTCTCGACCGGACTAGGAACCCTCTTGCGGCACTTTGCAAAGTCATGGCAAAACGGCGCATGTCCAACCGGTAGTTTGCGATTTGGCGGGCCCAATCAGCTCGGACACGGGCTTGGAGATCGACAATGAAGTGTTCCTGATCCCAGAGCTCTTGCATCAGCATGCCCAAACGTATCCGGACTAGGGCACCCCGGATCTGCGCCTGCAGATCCAGTATGATGTCTTCGTTCTCGGCCAGCTCGCGATCGATGCGTTCATCTTCTGACTCGATTGGCTCTGGTTCTGGTTCTGGCTCGACCTGGAAGTTTGCCTGCATGCCCGAGAAGTTGGGCATGCTAACACCAGACTTGTCTAGACCTTTTTGGGTTGCCTCGAGTTCGTGATCTTCAAACTGCAGTTTTCCGACCAGGTTGCCAATGCGGAAGTCGACTATGCCTTTGCGGAACAAGAGCCAGGAAAGGGCGTGTATGCAGTAGATGACTTTTGGGACATTCTTCTTTTCGTAAAGATCGATTAGTTCAAAGCGAAAGAGATCCGGCAGTTCAATCTCGGACAAGAACTTGAAAAAATGCGCGTAGTTGTTGGAGTGTCGGTATTGGAGTTTGGGGTCCCGGAAAATGCGCAACGGTTGTCCCTTGACAGCCTGGACAATTTCTGCCAGGGTAACACCATCTCGAAGCGCTTCTTCTAGCTCTACTACTGGGGGCAGGTCGGTCTCGATGATGTCCTCCATCCACTCTTTGGCTTCTCCTATATGACAAAGATACTCGTATGCCTGCAAGAATTGGCGCTGCTGATCCATCCAGTTGCGGCTCGACCAGGTAGATGCCGACTTTTGTCGTGCCGAGTCTGTCCGCTGAAGCCTTCTCCGCCCATTGAGACCCACGACCTGCTGCTCGGGCGACTTGATAGCAAAGTCGTCATCGGTGGCGGTTTCTGCGAATTTAGACAGGGTACGGAGATGGCCTGTCGATGACTTTTGGAAGGTCTTGAGTTCTGGTCGTTCCAGGTGAAGTGACAGCGGTCGAGAAGAATGGTCACGAGTGGGTGCGCGGACAGAGTCATTTCGTGATACGGCTAGCGAAAGCGGACGAGCCTTCTCGGTCGGGGAGACGGAGCTATCAAATGGGGCGTATATGTTCTCGACACTTTGGGAACGCATGTGGCTGTTACTCCGTGTAGGGCTGGCTGTGGCAGGCCGCAGAAGCTTCTCGGGCGACGGCGGGTTTGAATAAATTGGCGGTCGTAGGATCTTCTCGGCAGACGATGGGCTTATTGGGGTCGAGGGTCGCAATGGCTTCTCCGGGGATGGCGGATTCGCAAAGGTTGCATGTCTTGTCAGTTTCTCGGGCGAGGGCGGGTTTGCGGGGGGTTGCTGTAGCGGGCGCAGTGCCTTGCGCATACTCGAATACGTATCGCTGGGCTCGGCTTCTGGAGGTGTATAGTAGTCGTCTGTCCGCCGTGTCAAGAGTCCGGCGGCCTCGCTCATTCCGCGGCGGTGGCCAAAGGACGAGTAGCCGGCCGAGGCATTGCTGGACTGTGTACTTGAGCGGCTTGGAGGATGTTGATCTGAGCGGCTTGACGAGGCAGTCGAGGCGGTTGATGTCTGGCGGAGTGGGGAAGGCGCTGTGGACGGATGGCCCAGTCTGGTGCGTGGGGTCGTCAGGTAACTCATGGTGAGGGCAGAGGGCGAGGGTGCGACGGGGTGCGGGACAGCATATGTTGCACGGGATCCGAGGCAGGCTGGTCAATGTTGTTTGCAGGTGAGGCTCAAGAGGCCGTCATGGAGGCCCGGATATTAGAAGAGATTGATGGTGGAGGCGACTGCCGGACAAACGAAAAGAGCGCACACAGCCCAAAGGAAGCGGATTCAGCCCTGCGACCAGGCGCGCAAGTCGAGTCTGCACGGGCAACGAGGGTAAAGAAGGGCGGGAAATGGGGTATCGTAGGATGAAGACTACGGCGTTGAGACTGCAAATGGACGTGTGGTTGAGTCCAAGCTTTCGGGCCCATGTTTACTCGGGCTGCCAGTGTGTGTTGTCGAGCCAACCGAGGCCAGCCGACCAGACGCTTCTCGACCCGCCCGTCACGTCACCCCCCAATTCTCATCCCATCCCAACGGGGGGGTTCTGGCAAAGCAATGTGTTAGCGCTCGTCAGCCCTCGGAGCCCTGGTGGTGGTGGTTGTGTCTCGATGCCTCATTTCGCGCAAGAGGCCAGCGTCTGTCTCGTCTGCATCGTCTGCACAGAGGGTGGACACCGCTACTTGGACAGCGCCTCTTGCACGGGGAGCCAATGCGTCCCAGCGCACGTCGTCTAGCGTCACTCGAGACGGCCTGAGATAAATTCGCCCACGTCGCCATCTTCTCGCCCTTTTGGCACAACTCGCTCCATCCTTGCCGCAGCCGGTCGCGCTGCCCTCGACGCCAACGATGCCTTTCTCTTGCGACGCGCCCGCCGACACGCTAAAAGGCGGGGTCACCTGAACCGGACTCGGCCTTGGCATTCGCGCGCCCACTGAAATTCTTTCCCCGCCGTCATTCTCACACTTTTTTTTTTCTCTTGGGAAAGCTTGCAACTTTCCCCGGCCGCTGTCTTTGCTCAAAGAACCACGGTCTATTTTCTTTCAGTGATACCCCAGCAGCTCTTGTCTGTTCCTCGACAAGCATTTTTCTTTTATTTTCACGTCATGCCCATCTCAAACGGCGACGCCATGACCAACACCACCGTCGACGCCCTGGACCACACCAAGGCGCTTGAGATCCTCAAGAACGAGTATCCTGAGCACGATGGCATTGATGTCAAGACGCTCATCGACTCCAAGAAGAACGGCGGTCTGACCTACAATGACTTCCTCATGCTTCCCGGCTACATTGGTGCGTTTGCCTTGCAATTTTGCCATCCCAGGCCTACCCTGCCGAACACAAACTTTTTTTGGCACTCTGGTCATGTAATCGCACCATCCTAACAGAGCCACAGGCTTCCCCGCGGCTGAGGTTGCCCTTGATACCCCAATCACGAAGCGCATTTCCCTGAAGACCCCCTTTGTCTCTTCCCCCATGGACACGGTCACTGAGCACAACATGGCGATCCACATTGCGCTCCTCGGAGGTCTTGGTGTCATCCACCACAACTGCTCCCAGGAGGACCAAGCCGAGATGGTGCGCAAAGTCAAGCGCTTTGAGAACGGCTTCATCTTGGACCCTGTCGTCATTTCGCCCACCACTACCGTTGGACAGGCAAAGGCCCTCAAGGAGAAGTGGGGATTCGGTGGCTTCCCCGTCACTGGTAAGTCAGACGCACTCCTTCTGCCCCCTTGCATTGTGATGATTACCTTTTCAATTTTTAACTTTCGTTCATCCGCAACGATTCCGTCGTGCTGTGGAGAAAATATGCCTGAAATGCTTCAAATTTGCCAATTTTTTCAGTTCTTGCAATCCGCAATTGCTAACGATGGCTGCAGAGAATGGTACCCTGCGCTCTAAGCTTGTTGGTATTATCACACCCCGCGACATTCAGTTCCACGACAAGCTCGACGACCCCGTCACTGCGGTTATGTCGACCGACCTCGTAACTGCCCGCCACGGCGTCGAACTCAAGGAGGCCAACGACATCCTCAACAAGTCCAAGAAGGGCAAGCTTCCCATTGTTGATGAGAACTTCAACCTCATTGCGCTGCTGTCGCGCTCCGACTTGATGAAGAACCTCAACTTCCCTCTTGCCTCTAAGCTCCCCCACTCCAAGCAGTTGATCGCTGCCGCTGCCATTGGTACCCGGCCAGAGGACAAGATTCGTCTGCAGAAGCTTGTAGACGCTGGTCTCGACATTGTCATCCTTGACAGCAGCCAGGGTAACAGCATGTACCAGATCGAAATGATCAAGTACGTCAAGCAGACATACCCCCAGCTTGATGTCATTGGCGGCAACGTCGTCACCCGCGAACAAGCCGCTGCGCTTATCGCCGCCGGGGCCGACGGTCTGCGCATTGGTATGGGCAGTGGAAGCGCCTGCATTACCCAGGAAGTCATGGCTGTTGGAAGGCCCCAAGCCACTTCTGTCTTCAACGTCACGTCTTTTGCCCGACGATTCGGCGTGCCCTGCATTGCCGATGGTGGTATCCAGAACGTTGGCCACATTGTCAAGGGTCTCGCCATGGGCGCATCCACTGTCATGATGGGTGGTCTTCTTGCCGGCACCACCGAGTCTCCTGGAGAGTACTTTGTCAGCCGCGACGGTCAGCTCGTCAAGGCCTACCGTGGTATGGGCAGTATCGCTGCTATGGAAGACAAGAAGGCAGGAGGCGGTGCTCAAGACTCCAAGGCCAGCAATGCTGGTACTGCGCGCTACTTCTCCGAGGGTGACCGTGTCTTGGTCGCTCAGGGTGTCTCTGGATCTGTCCAGGACCGTGGCTCCATTACCAAGTTCGTTCCCTACCTTATGGCTGGTGTTCAGCACTCTCTGCAGGACATTGGTGTCAAGAGCCTTACAGAGCTCCACGAGGGTGTTTCAAACGGAACCGTCAGGTTCGAATTGCGAACTGCCAGCGCACAGGCTGAGGGTAACGTCCACGGACTGCACAGCTTCGATAAGAAGCTCTACTCTTAGGCGATTGAGGGACAAAAGTGATTCAATGCATTGGGAGGGCGTTAAGTGGATTGTTGGGCTATAGGATTCTCTCATTATTAGACACGCGATATGCAAAGATGACTGATGATCACACGTTATTGGAGCAATGGATAGGCCAAAAAGCAATGATACCATGAACTCTGTTCATTTTTAACGTACAAACTGTATTTTGAGCGGGGAGAGGGTGATGCTGCCGCGGATTTCCCAACGACATCTTGACCCGCGTCCCTCACCGCGCTAGGTTTAACCTCGGCTTCTTCCCGTGTCATACCACCTACACCTCACATGTGTTGACCACGCCCTCTCTTTGTTAGCTATGCTCAAGACAAATCCAATCTCGCTCAAGATCAAAGCCCAATTCTCATTGTCGAGTTTTCAGAATCCGATACGACCAGCTGTTCGCTCATCCTCAACTCTTCTACTGCAGCACCACGCGCGACCCTTGCTCGGGTTGACAACAAGCTTACCTCTTGACCAGCGAGGGATACTTAGACTCCAGAAGTGCAGCATGTCTACAAGGCCAGATCATCAATCACCCAAGAAACCGGCCAAGACGCCTGTTGTTCCCAGGCCAAGCGCAAGGTAGGCTGGAGTCCAAATTACATTGATAGGCAACGAGCCGAACTTGTTACACGGCACATGCTAAAAATACCAAGCGTACTCTTAATATCTCCAACAAATCAAATTTTGCTCCTCCATCGCGTGTCAAAGGCTTCTACCTTTGCTTCTGCACATGTCTTCCCTGGTGGTGCAGTCTCAAAGACCCACGATGGCGAGATGCCTGGTCCAGACCATCCTGACAGGCATCGAGATGGACCCGCATATCGCATGGCAGCCATCCGCGAGACATTTGAAGAATGCGGTATCGTCCTAGCCAAGAGCAAGAAGACTGGTAAACTATTTACCGAAATCAGCGACGAGGAAAGAGAGCAAGGTAGAAAAGCCGTTCATAGCGGCGAAATCAAGTTTGGAGACTTGTTGGAAAAATGGGGAGCAGTACCCGACACTGAATCACTAATTCCCTTTACCCGCTGGGTAACGCCACAGGTAACGCCCGAGAGCCTGCCCAAGCGTTTTACGACACAAATGTATATTTACCTGCTCCCTCTTGGCTCTGGGTCACCAACAAAGCATACCGCTCCCCAGGGCACGCCACCCGCTTTGGGCCTGGAAGAAGAGGCCGAAATCATCATTCCGAAGCCCAGGCACGACGGAGGCATCGAACACACTGCCGCACGTTTCTTGCCTCCAAACAAATGGATTGATCTCGCACGGCAAAACAGAATCATCTTGTTTCCCCCGCAATTCTTCCTCACACTCATGCTCTCCCCGTATCTAGCTGCAACCGTAACTTCGCCATCTTCACCTACTCCCTCACTATCTGAACTCCAGGCCGAGCGCGATAGACTCCTTGATTTCCTGCAGAAGCCACGCATCTACAATGGCCAGCCTGAGGTTCCGTTCACTGAAGCTTGTATCTCGCCCATTGTCTTAGGCAAGGGTGAGTACGGTGAGAGCGAGCAGGATGGTATTGGCGGCGTAGATAAGAGCACAGCCGTGCTTGTTTTGGATCGACCGGGCAAAGAAGTGGAGGACCAGGGACAGGGTAGGAGAGGGATTAGGGAGTGGGTCATCACTGCGAAGTTTAAGAAGGAGGGGCCGAGGGATGTGGATGTTAAGAGGAGGGAGGAGATTCTAGGGAAGGGGGTCAAGGGAAAGTTGTAGACGTGAAATCGACGGTGTTGGAAGGATAGTCGGGTTTCTCTGGTGCGAGTCTATTAGGACGGAATTACGACTTTGTTGATATGATGGAATGTGGTGCGTTGGTCAGTGACATGCAAGGCACGATCCATCGTCTTACTGTGGCGTCTATGTACCTCGTTCCCCCGCATTGCTGATCTTCTTGCATGCATACGACTTGTCCCCGGCCCGGTGCGCCCGCTCGGCATATTGCATGCCGAGTCGTATATAGTGTTCTCGAGATATATACAATTGAGTCGCGAACTGTGTCACTGAATCATCAACATCTAACGGGTCCATCTCGAGCACAATAGCTATGTTAACATTGGCATGGACAATTATTACACTCTTACTATTCCCATTGGACATTTTAGCAGCAGGATGTTGGCGAGACACCATCTGCACAGGACCAACTGAAGCCGCATTCCCCGGTCCGTGACCTCTCCTTTTCTCTCTCCCCCCGAAATTCTCATTTTCACTCCAACTTACTCCTAACATTGTCACCCAAAAGGACCCTGGGACCAATCAATCTACGCACCCCGCAACCGCACCGTGCGCCCCCGCTCCGTCTTCACACTGCGCGACCGTCGTCCTGCCAGCTACCCGCGCACCGCCACTCTGCGCGGCAACGGCACGACCGTTGTATTCGACTTCGGCTACGAAGTCGGCGGCATTGCAACGCTTACATATACCAGCAACGGCACGGGCACCATCGGCATCGCCTTTTCCGAAGCACTGAACTGGGTTGGCTACTCATCTGATTCATCAAACGGAAAATTCTCAAGAGAAGGAGATGGAGCGTTGTATTTCAACGTTTCCGGCGGCGCGGGACCAGGGTCGTATACGATGCCGGATGAGGTGCTAAGAGGCGGGTTTAAATACATGACTGTGTTCCTGCTTACGGATACGGCGACGCATGTTGTACTGACCGATGCGCAGCTGGAATTGAGTTTTCAGCCTACGTGGTCGAATTTACGCGCGTACCAGGGGTATTTTTACTGTGACGACTCGTGGCTTAATGCTATTTGGTATGGTGGTGCGTATACGCTGCAAACGAATGCTGTGCCGCCGAATACCGGGCGGTGGGTCCCTATGCTCGACAAGGGGTGGGCGAATAATGGGACGTTGGGGTCTGGGTCGAGTATCTTGGTTGACGGGGCGAAGAGGGATCGGGCGGTTTGGCCGGGGGATATGGGGATTGCGGTGCCGTCTGCGTTTGTGAGTACGGGGGATATGGAGAGTGTGCGGAATGCGTTGCAGGTCATGTTTGATTATCAGAATGAAGATGGGTCGTTGCCGGAATCTGGGCCGCCTTTGTTGCAGCAGAAGAGCGATACGTACCATATGTGGACGCTGATCGGGACGTACAACTACATGCTGTACACTGGCGACGCAGACTTTGTTCTGAAGAACTGGGCCAAGTACCTCAAGGCCATTGACTACATCTACGCCAAAGTAGACTCGTCGGGACTCCTCAATCAAACCGGTATTCGCGACTGGGGCCGCTGGAATACCGGCTCCAACAACACAGCCGCAAACGTCCTTCTCTTTCACACCCTCCAAGCCAGCGCCCTCCTCGCAACCTGGCTCAACGACACCACCTCCCTAGCCTCCACATGGCGCACCCGCGCCATCTCCCTCCAAACCGCCCTCCTAACCCACTCCTTCGACCCCTCCTACGGCGCCTTCCGCGATAATGCCACAAGCACATCTCTCCACCCCCAAGACGCCAACAGCCTCGCCCTCCTCTTCTCCCTCGTCCCACCAAACTCCTCAACCGCATCTTCAATCTCCACCGCCTTGACCCTCAACTGGACCCCGCTCGGCGCCCAACCCCCCGAACTCCCCGGTAACATCTCCCCCTTCATCTCCGGCTTCGAAATCCAAGCGCACTTTAAATCCCGCCGCGCAGACCGCGGCCTCGATCTCATACGCCGAAGTTGGGGCTGGTACGCTAAGCACCTCAACGGCACGTATAGTAGTACCGTCATCGAGGGGTACAGGACGGATGGAACGTTTGGGTATCGCGCGGAGAGGGGGTATGAGAATGATGCGAGTTATGTGAGTCATAGTCATGGCTGGAGTAGTGGTCCGACGAGCGCGTTGACGGAGTGGGTGGCGGGATTAAGGGTTACGGAGCCTAAGGGGAGGAGGTGGGAGGTTCAGCCCGGATTTGGGGATTTGAAGAGGGCGGAGGCGGGGTTTAAGACGGGGTTGGGGGTGTTTAGGGTTAAGTGGGAGAGGAGGGAGGGGGGGTATGGGGTTGTGGTTGAGACGCCGGTGGGGACGAGGGGTGTGGTGAAATTGCCGGTTGAGGGGGAGGGTGGCGAGGTGGTGGTTAATGAGGTTGTTTTGGGGAGGGAGGAATATGTGGTTGAGGATGGGCAGGCGGTGTTTGAGTTGGCGGGTGGGAAGTATAGTATTCGTGTTTCGAACTAGGATTCGATTTACTAGAAATACAGTGAAATATTAGTGTATGCTCATCTTCTGTTACGTTGAGTACTGCGGACTGACATACTTTAGGACATGATATAAGACTGCCGACTGCAAATTGCTGTAGCCAACCGGTGTGTCTTTCCGTCAAAGCAAACGTGTAGACATTATTAGTTGCCACGCTACGTATAGACGATTTCACATCAACAATTTGAATCAGGTAAATCATGTTGCTATATCGAAAAAAAAGATACTTATCTCTCTGTGGAATCACGCAAGACATACCACACTTAGACCTCTTCTCACCACCCCTTAACCCTCAAATATATAAATCTCTTTTTTTCACTACTTCATACCCTTAAAAAAAACCTTACTCCTCCCCAATCTTATAAACATACTTAACCGCACTCGCCTTCCCCTCCTTCAAATCCCTCAATCCCGTCTGCACACCCTGCAACCCCCCCGGCACAACCTCAAACGGATGTCCCTTAAACCAGCCTTCCTGCAACCCCCTCGCCATCCACCTAAACATGACATGCGCAAAGTCTGCATCCTCTTTATGCGCCGACCCCACATGCGTCATCGTCACCGTCAAAGTCTTCGGTAGATCATCCTCCTTTTTACTAGGCAGCACGAGCGCAATCGCGCCATTGGGCTCAATCACCTTGCTGATATTGATGTACGAGCCTTTTTCGGACACGCCGTCAAAGGCGTAAGTAAGTTTTTCTCCTTGAAGCGCATCTCGGATCCCTTTTACGACGGCTTCGTCGCCGTTGCGGTAATCGACGACTGTGTCGCCTCTGGAACGGTCTAGTAGCGATTCAACATAGGAGATACCGCGGCCTGCGACGGCGATGATGGGATGGATATTCGCTTTTTGAGCTATTTTAATGGCAAAGGCGCCGACGGCGGTGGCGCCGCCGTAGACGACTAGGGGTAGCTTTTTGCCGTCTGGCACGGGAGTCCATGGGTCCGGGAGACCGAGGCGCAACTGGAGTCCGATTGCTGATGTCATGGCGGCGAGGGGGATTGTAGATGCTTCTTCGAAAGACACGGATTTGGGGATGTGGAAAGTCGTGTGTTGCCAGCCTACGGCATACTCTGCGAAGCTGCCGCCAGGCGTCATCATTTCGTGGAAGGAAGCGACGCGGTCTCCTGGCTTGAACTCGTAGACTTCGGAGCCGACGCTGTGCACATAGCCAGCAATATCGTCGCCCGTGTTGGCATCATTCATATAGCCCATTTCAAGGAGTTTCCTATTTGTTGGTCCTTGTGTTAGATCGGAACGATATCTTGGAGGTGAAAAGGATTCATGGAGATGGCGTGAATGGTAAAGAAAGGAAGAAAACTTACCAGTCCTTAGGATTACTTCCGCTCACTACAACCTTGATAATGACTTGCTTGGGACCTGGCTGTGGAATCTCAACATCCTTGATCGTAACCACCATGCCCTTAGAAACCTGAGCTTCCTTCATTTTTGTCTGATTTAGGTTGATATCTTTTCCTTCCCTCTAGACAAGACAATGTATTCAAGGCCAAAAAAGATCTGAATTCTTAACTAGTTCAAGAGGGATATACTCGAATCTTGTATCAATGATATTGGAACGACACAGTCAGTAATAGTGGTAGGATAGTGGGGTAAATGCCACTTCATATTATCTTTAAATATAAGAATATAGTATTGATCAGCACCTTTTGCACTCCCAGGTCTTCCATCCGTTTCTCGTCCGTTCCTGTATCCATTAGCGTGCGTTCAGTGGACCCAGAAGCTCGAAAATGACGTTTGCGGGGTTATTGAGTAAAAGTGGAATTGTACTAGTAGGTTGATCCCGAGGTCATGATGTTTAGAGCTGCTACTTACTTTCCGATTGCGCCGAGATTGGCCGAAGAGTACTTGGTGCCATGCGAAAACACGGTGAAAATAAATTTTACTATCATCATGGCATTACATAAACAGTCATGAAAAACAGACTGTCATAGACATTAGAAAGGAAATGCTACTGACGGGACTGATGCAAGAGCAGCCTACGATTCGACCAAGACAGTTACACCAGAGAAAAACCAAAACGATCAAGACATGACCAGTGCATCGCAATACAGCCCAAAATGCAGTCTAACAAAACAGCCAACGAATCCGCATCGCTGCCATGGGCAGAAAGATGGTATACAAACGCCAACCCAGCCGGCCAACCGTGTCATTGATACTTCTAAATGTGAATTTTCATGCTTGAGACGTGAGAGTGTGACAGGGAAAAGGGTAACGTAAAGTTGAGAGATATGCAATCGAAAGGAAACGAACATGAGACTGGGAAGTCTCATAGAAGAAGCATCAAACCCCTAATAATGCATTCTCTGAATACTTGCGTGTTGTTCTCTCCAGGAAGAAAGCAATCAACGCCAAACACCCTTAGAGTTAGGCATCAGGCTAGTACCTCTCGCAGAAGAGCCACTGGTAATGCGAACAGGTGCTCGCGAACTTAGGCTTGCCGGCGCCTCCCGTGGTCGGTCGTCACCATTAGCTACAGTAGTACGTCTCGCAGCACCTTTCATGATGGGCGTGACTCGCGGACTGAGTACGCTGTGTTTCCAGTCAGCGTCGTGATTGGACTTGACCATGCGGCGTGCTGCACCCGCAGATAGAAGTGAGTTCTCGCCAGGCGGACTTCCAATGGTCGCTGCGGTTGGGCTGCGGCGCCGGTGAGCGCGGCTGATTGGTACCGAGCCTGCATTGGTAGAAGAGCGCCGCCTAATTGCGTGGCTAATCTTGCGTGCATCTGATGCTGTCCACTTTTCTCCTTCTGAGCTGGAATTACCGCTATCTGCTTCAGCCGCAGCATCAGAAGATGCGCTCTGTACGTGACTCAACCCAGAACCACGCGGGTTGCTGGCAATCTCGCGTAGAGGAGACACGCCGTCAGAATCCGAGGTATATAGGGCGGGGATGCGGGAGGTAGGCGAACCGTCTGGCCGTTTCGAAAGAGCGCCAACTGCGAATCGCGATGTGCCTTTGAGGTCCACAGACGCCCTTGGCGGCGTGGGTATGGGCGAAGAGCTGCTTCCGCCTGATCTTGGTGCGGGAGCGGGAGCGGGAGCGGTGAAGTTTGGCTGCGGCATGTCGATTGAGGTGGTAGTTGGGGTACCTTCAACATGCTCAGGTGTCTTTTGGAACTCCGCAAGTGTGCCGTTCTCAGTATCGTCCCTCCACCGTACTCCTCGCTTAATCTTCGAGGGCGACTTCTTCTTCATGGGAGAAAACTGGATGCCCTTCTTCACTCCACTCATGAGCTTCTTTCGGCGTGGTGACGCTTTAGCAGGCGATGCAGTGAGATGAGACGCACCAGCCAGTGTCGGTAAGGCCAATGGGCGCATTGGAGAGGGTTCTACGATGTTGATAGGCTTCTTTCGCTTCGGCGTGCCTTTGTAGTTCGATTCAGAGAATCCAGCGACTGACAAGCCGCCATCTGGACGAATAGCTTGTGAAGTGGCGGTTGTACACGCGTTCATGATCTTTGTTAGTAATTTGCGTGCGGCGGCGACTGCATCGGCTTCGTCCATTTGAGTGATCTGGTTCAGGATTGCAACAGTTTCAATGTGCGCTTGAACAAGCACTTGGACAATGGCAGCGTCACCGCCTCGTTCTTGGTCAAGCAGAGCATTGAAAAGTTCGCGGTCTGCATTCGATTTGAGGAGTTCGTATTCTCTTGTCAGATTGGCAGCGTCACGGCCATCGGCGTTGTTGTCCACCTCTGCCAGACCCCTCAGTCCTACTTGGAGGGCAGTGTCCATCTTACTTGTCCAATTGGTACGCTCCAAACGGCGGTGGCAATGCTGTCTTGTTTGCTCGAGCTCGGCTGAAATCCCGACCGCAGTGTCCCTCATCGCAGTGATTTGCGATGGCATCTCTTCGTTTTCCCTGATATCTCTGACGTTGTCGAATGCTGCAATCCAGGAAGAGATGAGCGAGATGCGCTTTTCAGCTTGCTTCAGTGTCTTGGACATATTGAATCGCTCTCGACGTTCGGGCTCCGAATCCGCATAGGCTTGACGTAGACGTATGATAGCATCCCGTAGAATACCGTCCTTCTTCTCGCTCTGCTTTTGGTATTTGATGAATGCACTACCCTCAAAATCCTTTTGCTTCTTCATCAATTCTTCAATCAAGTGTCTTTGCTCATCAATCTTTACTAGGTAGTCTTTGACGTGGCGGTTGACGTTGTATACGTTCTTGGTGACCTTGGTCTGGATGTTCTTCGCGCGATTGGCATAGCGTAATGTGTTTTGTGTCTCATCGTAATGGGCACTTGACGGGCTGACACAAACAATCATAACAGTGCGGCAGTTACCTCCGAGCGAGAATTTGAGCAATCGGGTGAGCTTCGAATTACGATATGGAATATGGTTGCGTTTCCGTGGATCGCACAGGGCATTGATACAGCTTCCCAATGCGAGAAGAGACTTGTTGATGTTGGCACCCTCAGTCAGTCGCTCTCCGCGGTTCTTGGTAGCACTAGCTCGCTCACTTCCCGCTAAATCGATGATACTGAGCGTAGCCATGGTGTGGGGCTCGTTGACGGAGGCGTTGCGGTCTTTGGACGAGACATTGATTTGGAGAACAGCGTGAGATCGAGACGAGGTAGCATTGGCTTCGGTAGGAGACATGGTTCGGTATTCGTTACCGCGAACAATCATATCCATGACTTCTTGAACCTACATCTTGTCAGCAATTGGGGGGCGATTCATGCAAATTCAACTTGACCAACATTTTGCGGCCTGTGGCTTGACAATCCAGCTACTGAAACTGCTTGGTTCGCATCTTCCCGTAGCATCAGGGCCTGCTTGCTGCCACCTTCCACCAGTAAGTCGCGAATCGTCTCGTTGTAGATCTCTAGGTACGAGAGTGTAATTTCCGTGGTCTTTTCATCCTGCACTTCTTGAATCTTCTCAAAGAGTTCTTGCATAGTGAGGAAGATTATGCCGGGCTGCTGTGATGTTCCACTGGACACAGGTCAGTTCTGCCCCTCCCGTGTTAAACGGCGGTGTGCATAGACATACGTGATGGTATGTGTTTTTCCACAACCTGTAGCACCATATGCAAAGACGGTTGCATTGTATCCTTCAAGCACACTATCCAACAAAGGCTTCGTCGTAGCTTCGTATACGTCGCTCTGGGAAGTCGTGTCGTCGAATACTCGGTCGAATGCAAATGTTTGATCCTTTGCTCGCTTGCCTTGAGGTCCGGTTGTTGAACGGCCGAATCTATGTATAGCGCTGTCTTCTGGGGGGTCGAATATCCTGAAACCATGTTAGCCCAACACTGGCGTGGTACTCCTGAGTTGCCATACAAGCACTTTTCATCCATGACCTTGATCACCGGCCGGATGCCCTTGTGGATTTTTGGTGCAGGCACTCCGGCCAGCGAGCCATCGCCGAGGAACAGTGTTTGGTCGTCATTGCGCGTCACCTGGGCCGCCTCTCGAATGGTGAAAGGGCGGACTCGTACGGTGACAGAGATGGAGGACGCGCCCGCAGCGGCCATGGTTGCGCCGTGGGGATATGAACTGAAACGTCAGTTACGGTACACAGCGTCTGGTATTGAGCAGCACGCTGTATGTAAAGAGTGGTGGTGTGGCTGACTGGTGGGCTCAATGACGGTGTTGGACTGCTCCCCAACTTCTGTTGTCCGACGCACGGCCACAGTAAACAGACAGGGGTCTCGAATAGGGCAACCACGACCCTGAATGCCAAGACCGGCCTCCCATCTCCACCTTTTCCGACCTATGGCAAAGGCTAGTTTCGTCTCATGACCCTACTACACTGGCACATTGCCACCACCTTCTGCTTCATCTCTAGTACATATCATCAAATTATTGGGCACCATAGCAGTACAGAAAAGTAGTGGGAGATGCGCATCTCATTCAAGTAACTACAGACATCAAAATATAAACAAGCAAGCCATCAAATCATCCAATCATCGCCACGGCACCTCCTCCACGCAAGATCTTCAACGCTCAGCTCCCATGGCCCATTCACGCTTATCCAGCTAGTTAGGTTTTTGGGCCTGCATCAACTGCAATCAGCCATCTACGCAGTGCACTTCTGCCACTGCACGTACACAACTTGGGTGAACTTAAGATCAGTAGAGTCGGTGGTGAGCAGACCAGTGGCGGAGGAGTTGGTGGTAGTCAGGCGGACTTGTGAGTTGATGTTGAGCATGCCAGTAGTGCCGCAAGGCGACCACACAACCGACGTGCTATCGGCCGTGTCATGCTTGAGGTAGTCGCCGTTGGCGGGTCCCTCGAAGGTGTATTGGGTGCTGGTCTGAAGACGGCGTTAGAGCTAGTTCTTAGTGCCTCACATCACAGTATAGACTTACCTGAGCAGTCTGGCCAGAGAAGTAGTAGGTTGACTTGAGTGTGCCGGTGACACCCTTTTGGATGGCAGAGTAACCGCGGTAGTCGGCAGACAGGATGGAGTACTGGAAGCCTCCAGGGTATTTGATGTCCACGTTCAGCTGGCAGTTCTTACGCTGCTCAGTGACGGCGATGCCGGGACCAATTGAAGCAATGTAGGAGTCGAAGATGAGCGTAACGACAGTCCTGTCACTGCTGATTTGGGAGCTCATGGTTCCCTGTGGGCAACCGGTTCCTCCATAGCTGACACCGCGGATGGTAACCTGTCCTGTGTAAGCTATGTGTCCTCTGATCTCTTGTGTGTAGCAAGACGCTTACCGAACCCGCTGGTGGAGCATCACCGAGCTCGACGGTCGGCATGGCAGGTGCTGCTGCCGCGAGAGGAAGGAGAGCCAAGAACCACTTCATGTTGGGTGATTGATTGATAATCTTTCTGTGATACAAAAAGTGGAGGTATTGCTATGGGAGAATGTGCTCGGAGTGGAAGCTGAGTGACGATCATATGGGCAAATGGACCAGATTATATACCTTTTCAACCGGCATCTTCTCATTTCCCGTGAGTGCGGCAGTCAGCACCGTAGCAACCATCTGGTGAGTTTCAGCAGCAGCCTACAGAGCACGATAACCGCTGCCAAGTGCCGCCTGCAATATCGAAAAACGGCTGAACAAAACGCCCACTTGCTTTCATAGGACTAGGACTCGATATTCTGCTCAGCTGAGGTATTGTATCCATTGCCAAGCTGTAACTTGTTTCCGCTGTGGTAACTGTAACTCGTCTGTATGGCTGAATCTAATATCTGGGGTACGCGATAGCGTCGTCCTATCGGAGACCTTCTCCAAAGCACCATACTTGTCGAGGTCAATATGACACGATAGCGTCCTTTCACCATATACCCTGCTTCAGGGCACTATTCCTGTTTGAATGGCAATCACATGCCAAGATTCCAACCTTACGGGTGTCAGAGTACCTGAACCATGCTCTAAGTGCTTCTTTTACAGTGACGAGTGGCACAGAATCTGACTGCCGACAGTACCGGACTCTTGTGCCTGTACGACTTTGTCGCGTGGATAGATAGGATGGTTAGATGATGGATACGAGCAACGGGGATATAGTGGTCATGGAACCCATAGCTTTCACACATCAGGTGATAGTTAGTGTACCAAACTTTTGCTCGAACGGTGGGTCACATGCTCGCTTCTATCTCGCATTCAAAATTCGCGCGGCGAGTACAGTGGGGATAGATTGAGAAGGAATTGAAGTGAGTATATTTTCCCGGGGCATCAGGCCTAGAATAGAAACACGGGCCTGGAAGCTGGGTAAGAGTCTTAGGAGTACAGCAGGGGGTTACATATGCACACGGGTGGCGGCTTTGATCAGTCCATCCCGTCGGCAATACGCTGGCGGTAGAATGTACGGAAGTTGCGGGTCTATCGTGTCCGTCTGATGGAGCCGTTCGGTGGTTGTCATGTATAGAGGATGATAGTATGTTGATATCGTGAATGAAACGATAGGACTTGCCTCTTGGCGGCTAGATTAACTTTAGATTAAAGCTTGTCACTCCATCGCTGCTCGAGACCCTGCCTTTAATCAATTTTAGCGAACACGATATCCTGCAGGGGTAGATTCTGGAGTCTGGAAACAGGTCCAAAAATACTTGGGGAATGGCTGGTTACGATGCATGCAGGATGCTGCTGCGGAATGCATGCGGCAACTTGGTGGTAAGCTACGACAGCTGGGTCATCGTACGAGCTGAGGAACGACTACTGCCGGTTCAAGAGCTGGATATGCAGCCAACGAGAAGGTCCTGGCCAAATAAATTGAGCGTTGATTACACAAGGCCTGTCGGGATGCCATGACCGGGATGATAGGTCGAGCCAGATTTATAAGGAAAGTTTATCATTGGGGTGCCAAAAAAGAGAGGAGTATAGGTCGGGGGAGGTTCGCTTCATTTGGTTATATGAGTAATAGTCTGTTGCCCAGTGCACATATAACAATAGGTAAGAGAAAGCACTGAAGGGATGAAAGACGTCTGGGAGAGGCTGATACACACCCAGCACTCGTTTGTCGCAAACTATTCCTATTGGCCATCCTCAGATGAGCGGGAAGCCAGCAAGGGTATTGTGGCTTGAAGGATGAGCGTCCAGATCTTCCAGCAAGCCGAGGTTTTTTTTCAGCAGCACCAGCAGCGGCAGGTAACGCAAAGACAAATCCTGACTGCTCGACTGCAGGTTCGGTCAGCGATACGCGATGAGGGCGCGACAGAGACTGGCCAGGGCGCCACAAGCAGGTGTTCTGTGTTTTACCAGTCGGCATAGGACGATTTCCACCGACTAAGGTCCGGATAAAGGTACAAACCTGGCAAAGCGGAGAACTGCGTCCAATGCGCGCAGGAGCCACAATATATAGCGACGTGTCAAGAGTTGCAGGGCGAAATCGATAAAAAGCGAAGGATGTGATGGTCAAAGCAATCCTCCCTGAGCAGAAGAGAATGTACAAGCCGAAGCTGACCAAAGCTGGAGTAGAGTAACTGACAAGTCCGATACTCGACCCCGCCACGCCACCATGCACCGCCACAAGTGTGGCTGAAGCACCCCCTCATCGATTTGTCCATTCTAATCATGGCATCATCGCCGCCGTCTCTGTCCGTTTTGTCAGCGGCGGACATATCGCAACCCGTTTATTTCCTTTTCTTCATATTCTCCCGCAACAAGCCCCGCCATCCTGAAGTCCCTTACTATCTTCCTTGTAACCCTCCTCCCCACCCTCTTTTCCATGTCCTTTCTGACTAAGCTCCTGCGGCCCTTCAGCACAATGTCCAACGCGCCCGCACAGCCCATGACAGTGCCCTCGGGCGCACACACGGCCACCCTTGCAGCGGGCTGTTTCTGGGGCGTCGAGCATATGTACCGCAAAGAGTATAAGGACAAGGGTCTATACGATGCGCGCGTTGGTTACATTGGCGGCGACACCGAGAACCCGGGATACAGAGCTGTGTGCAGTGGAAGGACCGGCCGTATGTATATTCACTTTCTGCATGGTTCTACCTGCCATAGTTTTTGCTATGACTGTGCGACCGAGACTGGGGTAAAAAAATAAGTTAGAAAATAGTTGATACTAACACATGCACAAACAGACGCCGAAGCACTACAAGTAGTGTACGACCCGACAAAAGTAACCTATCGCTCGTTGCTGGAGTTCTTTTACAAAATGCACGATCCCACAACGCCAAACCGTCAGGGTCCAGATGTTGGCACCCAATACCGCTCAGCTATCTTTTACCACGATGCCGAGCAAGAGAAGATTGCGCGAGAAGTCACAGACAAAGTAAACAAGCAGTGGTGGAAGGGCGCTGTAGCAACAGAGATTCTGCCTGCAGGCAAGTGGTGGGACGCCGAGGAGTATCACCAACTATACTTGGACCACAACCCAGGCGGTTACGAATGCCCAAGTCACTTTTTGAGGAAATTCCCGCCGCTTGAGGATTAGAAGGTTGGTCAAGTGGAAATTAGATACCAGACCGGAAGAGGAGACAGCAGCATCATGATACCTATCTCAATATTCAACATAAAGTCCTAGAAAATTCATCATTTCTCGCGGATGCAATATATATTTTATTCTATTGCTAGAATGCTGTTCAACTGATGGTTCATCATGCGGCAAGTTCAACCGTCTATGAGGGTGGCAGAACATCGAAAGTGGTCGCAACCTCCTTCTCCCATGGCAGGCGATCCTTGCCAAAGATCTCCGCGCCCGGCTTGAAGTCCTTGAGTCCCTGCTCCAATAGTCCGGTCCTCAGAACAATGTTGTCCGGGCCGAGGACCTCCTGCTGGTGGTATACGTGCGCAGTGCAGTTCTTGCAGTAAAACTATTCCAAAAACAGGACTATCAGCATATGCATTCTCCAAAATGGGGACAGAGTAACGTACGCAGTGAACACTCTTGCCAGAGTCACCCTTGTATGTGTATTTGCCCAAGTCATCGCCCTTGGTGATCTTAAGCGCCTTGGCGGGAATGATCTGGTTGAGCGTGTATGTCGCGCCGGAGAGCTCCTTGCACGTGTTACAGTGACTGTATCTCCTCATCAGCACCTCTGTTCTCCTCATGATCTCAGGTAAAAGCTCACCAAAGGATATGCGCCTGTTGATCCGGCTGAAGTGTCGCCGTCCACTCCGTCTGCTTGCAGTGGCACGATCCCTTGAAGTCCGTCATTGTCTCGAATCAAGTGTGAGATAGGTGCGTAGTATAAAAATAGGTCGATGTAGAATGTCCAACAAGGTCCTCTCGAGAGGAAGGGCAAGGCAAATACCTTATATACGTAGCTCCCTCCCCTCTGCTCAGCTCAAGCACCCCTCTTTCCTCACTCTACCTCCACCCCTCCTTAGCTCCCAACCAACGCGCACCGGAAATGCAGCCTCCCCTCTCTCACCTGCATGCCGGAAACTCTTAGTCCCCCAATGTATCAGCAACAATACGGCATGGGGGCCGATCCAAACACATTCGTCCAATTCCACTAGTCCGTTTATCCGCATCCACAATGAGGTATTGACCCTGCAGGGCCACACGCATCAAGTCGCCGCGTTACAGGTGGTTCGGATCCATCCAAAGAATGCCACTACATCCAATGACCGCACGACAGGTTGTTTTTCTATTGTGTAATCCACTTTCTTTGCTGATCGACCTCTCGAGCGCGTTGTCCCATGATTAAGGACCTAGCTGATCATTTGCTTGTCTATACCGGATTCATGGGCCCATGAGTAAGAGAAGACATAACGGGAAGAGAGTGGATACATTGGTCGCAATGAGCAAACAAAAACGCGCTTGCTCTCGAAGGTAATCGTCGCTTTGAGACGGGATTCGAGAGATGTGAGGGGCATGCAGGCGCGCCCAATGACGGAAGCGGGGCACGACGAGGCGGGAAGACGCGGCGCGCGATGCGGACCCGGCTCTTGTGGTGTGCATGGAATTGTGGAATGGATGTTTGTGTTGGTGCTAGGCATGTGGTATTCCAAATCATTCGCGAATCATGCACCTAGATCCGGTGGGCGTGTGCGTCGTGTCGTGCATGGCTTCTGGTGGGGGTCGCTTTGGGTAGCGGAGGCGGTACCTACACTATTGGCGTGGGATCAACAGAGCAGCATGAGGCTTTTGAGGTGTGAGTTCTAGAATAGGTAAGAGATTGGGATTCGTATCAAATTGGGAAATGCAATGGCTGGGGCTGATCTTGACTAGAACAAGAAAGAGGAACGTGAGATAAGGCGCCACGCTGTTGCTTTCCGCCTTTTATACCATTCTTCTTGAATACTAATCATACTGAACATTGCTAATCGAGGAACAGAATCTGTAAGCATCCATTGTTTGCAATGCTTATCTTCAACATGTGATCGAGTTGTGCAACATCGTATCCGCCCTCGGAAAATGGAGAGAACCGAAGGCTCATCTGTATCTATGTAATTCAACTCAATAATGGTCCAAAAGTGCCATAATAACACACTAATTGCAAATATTTTATTTTTCTCTAACGCATACACTCATGAAGCGATCGTTTTAATCTATCTCCAAGAGTTCATAACGTCCACCATGCTTATCCAACGCATCCTCCACCCTCTCCATAATCGCAAGTACCTTCTCCTCTTCCAATCTCCGTCCCACAACCTGTACAGCCACAGGCAAACCCTCCATCTTCTCAGCATCATAGTGCTTATACGCACCCTGTGCAACACCATTCAGCTTCTTCAGCTGAAAGTTGGGCGGAAGAGCATCTTTCTTCGCATCAACATGCGTTACCGGGATGACGCCCACGGAATAGTCGAGCTTTGATACTTGTCAGCATGTAACAAAAAAAAGGGGGAGGCTAAAAGTAGCACAAAACGTACCAGGTTGAACAAAAAGGTGTAACCGCAGCTGCTGACTGCATCGTGCATGCCGCCATGAGGCACAGCAGGCGTTGCGTTTGGCGGCGTGAGCATGACATCCATTTTCGCCTTTTCATCCCACCACTGGAAGAAGTTTTGCTTGAAGGCTTCGCGCCTGCCGACAAGCTGCCAGTGCTCGTGTGCAGTCTTTGGGTGCCAGTCTCGCAGTAGGCCGGCCCAGATGGAGTCGCCCTTGATGTATTTGAGGTAGAGGTAGTGGATGTACTTTATGAAGCGCGGTAGACGCATGTACTTGACCATTTGGGCGGCGCCCGGGTCGTTCCACTCGCCGGTGCGGAAGTGGCTTAGGAAGACGCCGCCGCCATCGCTGAGGAGCAGCTGAGATGCGATTTGTAGGGCTTCGTAGGGGGATGGCGGCTCGACGTCGAAGACTTCGTGGCCTTCGGCTGCAAGGGCTTTTGCGGTCTCATCCAGAGCGCGTGCACATGCGGGTGATGGGTCTACAACGTGGTCTGTTCGCATGACACCGATGCGTAGTTTCTTCTTCTCCTGATATTCCTCCTCGATTTCTTCCCTCCATTCTATTGGGTGCACTGTGTAGTCGTATTTCCAGGGCTTCATCTGGATAAAGCTGCGTGTGAAGTATGTCAAGTCGTTCAGCGTCCTCGCCATGGGGCTGAAGACACTGGGAATTCCTTCTTGGCCGGCCATGCTGGTGTTCATGCCTACTTTTGGCCATCTTCCGGTAGAGCATCGTATCGAGTAGCATCCGGAGAAATGAGCGGGTGCACGAACAGAGCCAGCAACGTCGGATCCGATACCAATGCGACTACCACCGAATGCTAACAGCGCCGACTCACCACCTGTTGAGCCACCTGGTGAGTACTTATCATTGTGTGGGTTCTTGGTTCGTCCCCAGACGTCGTTGGTAGATTCAAATGAGAGAAGAGTTGTAGGCAGGTTGGTCTTTACAAAAGGCACGGCGCCGGCGTCTTTGAGTAGCTTGACCATGACTCCATCTTCAGTAGCTGGCTTTCTGGTATTTCTTGAATAGCCAACTGAGGTGTCAAAGCCCTTGACTTGTATTGAATCCTTTAATGAAACAGGAATACCGGCCAACGGACCCTTGAGATTGACCTCTTTCTCAGCCCATTCCTCAGCCTCTGGAAACAAGATTTCAGTCACACAGTTGGTCTTTTCATGTGCCTTGACGGCAACCTTGCCGTATGCTCTCAGGATATCAACGGGGCTAGTAATTTGCTTTTGTACATCTTGGACAAGCTCCTGTATGGGTTTGCCGAGGATAGTACGTTCCTGTGGAGATAGAGGAGAAAGATATGGTGCTGGAAGAGATGCAATTTTTGCAGCACGCTCCGACTGCTTACGTTTGCTGATGGAAACTTAGCTGACAACACTCTCTTACAGTGTGTGGGGTATTAGAGTGGCTTTGTGAAGCTCGGAGCAACTTACCAGTCGGCTTTATGTTGCCAGTACTCTGAAAGACCCATTGTTGTTGCTAACTCTGAGAGTTGAAGATCACACGATCAACGGCCACATGTGAGACTTTAAAGCCTGTGGATTCTTCTTATCGGCTATAGATATCACGGGAAGCCGCGTGTATGCGACCAACTATCCATGAGCTGGGTCGCGTGGACCTGCCGCATCTAGCTCACCCGAGGTCGGAAGCGGGGAGCATGCCATCGTAAGGCGTACTTGTCATGCCACCACCACCATTGATACCACCTCCTTCATTCCAACACCTCAACACAATCTCTGTTGTCTCTGATGTCTTGCAAGACTCTTATCTTGAACTCCTTTGTTAAGGAATGCCCCACTTTGCTGTCTGACGCGTACAGGCGCGTACTATGAAAGCATTGCGTGCACAACTATGCAAACACGCCTCATTTTACCATTTAGATATGGAAGTTGTCTAGACTTCTACCATGTCCATCGATGACTGACCAATGTATACGCGCGCATACTGGTTCCATAGGCAAGCATTGACGTGGCAAATTCCGACGTCCTCTCATCAGCGCAGGTGTTTCTTGGACAACGCCCTCACCAAGGGCGTGAACGATCCTTTTGGAACAATGTTTCAACCTTCCGCGACTCTGATTGAGCCTCAACACTTTCCGAGGATAGCTCCCGCGCGCGAGGTTGGGCGGGAGCTTGGTGTGGGACCGCGGAAGTACAACAAGAGCCGCAACAACATCTCTCGTCCAACCGATCCAGACATCAAACCATGGCTCCACATGCCTCAGGTACCGCTCTGAATCTGCGGACGTGTATGGCTTCCCCAGATTTGGTGTGTCGACTTGTTATGCTGTAGCCGCCGACGTGCATCAGTGCGGCAGCTCGGACATTTTCCCAAGCATCACGGTTCTGGCCTCTCATTGGTCCACCCAGCGACTACTCGCGATACCATGAAACCATGGCGGTCCAGATTCGCAATGAGCAAGAATAGCAGCGAATTCAGCTATTCCGTTTTCAACAACTTGTTGAGGCAGCAGGAAACACCTGGATATATAATATGTACTTGAGGTAGCACCATATCAGTCATCAAACACAACAACCAGCTCACAAACACTCACTTCCATTTCCTCTTTTTTCCTCTATTTCCTTATTTCCTATCTGGGTCTTATTCTTTCTCAATTTCCTATCACGACACTCTCTCCTGCTGTGCAGATCACTGTTGCGTCCTCGCTACTCGAATCACTTCGTCCGTTCACTTCGACAGTCAACTCTCTTTCAAAAACTACATCTTCAATCAGCCAATATGCCTGTCCCTACCTACAACGCTAAGCCTTTGAGCCTTATGCTCCTGGGTACTCGCGTCCTCCAGTCTATTTGCATGATCCTCGTCATTGGCATCTGCTCCAACTTTGTCCAGATGATTGTTACCACTGGTGTTGAGCCGCCTAAGGAGTTTGTTGGCACCCTTAGTGTGGTATGTATCAAAACATCATGCTTCCAGCAATGTACTAACACAGATAGGCTTGTATCGCTACCCTATACATCATGGTCAGCATTGGCTACTACTGGTCCCAAGCCAACCTCGGCCTTCTTGTCATGGCTGGTGTCGACTCTCTTCTTCTCATCGCCTTCATCGTCTGCGCAGTCACTCTTGGAAAGCCCATGTCTTTCCTCAACTGCTATGTCATTGGAAAAACTTCGGCTGAGATTGATGCCATGTACGCCAACGCTTTCGTCACTGCGGCGGTCCAGAACCTCAACAAGTCTGCCTCGAGCCTGGGCCACTGGGCTGGTGTCACTCGCAGCAACTGTTTCCAGGCTAAGACTGTCTGGGGCATGACAATTGCTCTTTGGTAAGTCTATTAGCGCTGTTACTGTTTCTGGGCATTACTGACCTGACTCAGCATTCTCTTCACTGTCTCTTGCGCTCTTCTGCCTACCCTTTGGTACAAGAACAACATGAAGAAGCCTGCCAAGACTGTCGAGGAGGCTTAAACGAGATAATGATTGATGTCGTCATGTCGAGTCGACGCAACGATCAATAGGAGGAATTGTCTAAAACAAGTGACTGCCGCCAGTCCCCCAACCTCTGCCCCTTTTCCTATCTGTCAAAACCACAAAAACAGTACGCATCGCGATGGAGTTTGAAGTAGTCTTTTGTCATCATGTTCTTTTCTGTCTGGACATTGAATGTCCCTAATCCCTAATGGATATTTCTGAGCCTTGCTGCTCATACAAAACAAATTACATCATTCTTGCCTTAATTTCCGTTTGTTAATGTGACTCATTTACATGGTGCGCTGTTTTGCCTCTACCTTGCCCTTGGCCAGTCTGAGCGTTGGGCTCCTGTTTCATATTCTTGATTCACCTTTGTCTTTCACGCACTCCTGCTACCTTCTCCACAGTCATAGGATACTTACGAGGTACTGCCATGTGTACAACTAGGCAGAGACGTGACTTTCACTCATGGGACAAAGCTTTGAAGCGTTTGCAATACAGCCAATACCAACGGTGATCATTCAATTACCCTTTCATGTCTAGAATTCTATTCATGTGAACAAGCAACAATATGAGTCGATTGTCAGAACAGCACATACAACTCTCTGACGTTTTATCTTTCTGCCCTCCATATAAGAAAGACCAGCACCACGTCGATCTTATTTTCTCCACCAAGGGATACTACTCATAACACCACCTATTAAGCCCCACAAATTCTCACGCCACACATCCTAAACAACGATACAATGTGCAAACGCTACCCTCTCGAGTGCGCGATGCCTAACTGCCTCAACACCATCCCCCCACACTACATCTGGGGCGAAAGCTGCTACCAAGCCACGACCCATGACAGGGGAGTAAAGCGGCACTACATTCCTGGTATTAAACCCTCAGGATACTGCGGTTTCACACAGGTCATGGAGCCGTACAAGCATCCGTATATGCTGTGTGAGTTTCATTATGAGAAGCGGAACAAGGAAGAAGACGAGAAGAAGAAGAAAGAGGAAGAGGAGGAAGAGAAGAAGAAACAATCGAAAGAAAGGGAGAGAAGTGGAATACCGAGGGGCATGGGGCACTTGATTGACTGATTGTTCGGGGTCTATCGAAAAAGAAGGGAATATGGGAGAGATTGGGTTTTGTTCCGGTATTTTGACAAGAGTCTATGTGTGCATTCCATGTATTGGAGCCAAAGCAACGGAGTTTTCACGAGGGGTGCATGGGTCCAGGGGAGCCGAGATAAAGAGTCAGGTATCATTGTAGGAATCGAATGGCCTTTTTGAGATACGGCTGATAGACACGAACCCCTTCGCTTGATATAAGCCAGGGCAAAAGGCGAACTGAATCTCTTTCATCAGCAGCCTTTCGGCAAAACCTGCCCAACTACAGTCAATCTGTCCCTCTCAGCTCTCCAAGCCTAGCTGAAGCGTACTTATCGCCTGCAAGGTCGATCCAGCGCGCTCAATTTACCCCGCACCTCGGGAGAGGCTGATAAGTCTCGTCTGATATGTTGTGTAACCTGAGGTGCATCATCATTCGCCATGTGGCCCTGCACCATTGGACTGGAGGAAAATCCTTCGGCTACACAACATAGAGGCAGTGTTATACTGCCTATAATTGACAGACTGTGCTCAGCTCTTTCAATATCCACATCCATTGTCGTGAATCATTATCCATAAGTACTGCTGTGGAACGAATAGAAAATTGTAATATCCATACTGTGAACGAGTCGTGCAATCTCTGCGAGCGCGACTTTGGCAGCAAGAAAGAGCATGGACAGCACTGCAGAAGCTCGCCAGTGCACAAGAACAGGCTTCAGTGTGAGGTTTACGATAAAAACTACACCATTTGCCCTCGAAGCTTTTGTAGCCTTACAGCCAAAAAGAGCATCAACGAGACATCCATATGATTAAAGAAACCTTTCACTGCACTTTTTGCGATATCGGTTACATCAACAAAGGTGTGCTTAAGCAGCACGAGCGAGAATCTTCCCCAGAGAAGAACAATTCCCCATGCTATACTTGCAGTAACATGTTCGTCAGCGTAGAAGAGTTCGAAAGGGCATGACCGAGAGTTGCCTGTGCATTGGAACTCACCATGGCGGCTCCCGCAACAAAAACGCTTCTCCACAGGTTGAGGAATAGTTGTCTGTGGGAGGAAGGAGTTTTGAATGCGATATTCGCAACTGTCGTTCCAGCAGCGAGGCAGCATACTAGCAACATCAATGTCATACTCTCACGCATAAGATCCTGCGTCGTGAGACTTGCAGTAGTTCTTTTGGCGGCAGAAAAGAATTTGCGTCCCACAAAATAATCTGTAAAGTCGATCTAGGACCATTCAAGGATCACATAAAATTTTCATCGAAGCAGCGAAACAATAAAGTCACAGCAAATGACACCATAGTCCAAAATTCAACCTCCACCAAACCCTTCACATCCCCTCAACAGTTCCCCTAAGAAACTCGTAATCGTTCACCTTTCCTACCATGTCATACTGCCAGATTAGAATACAATGCTGGCGACCATGGCGTACAGCATGTGCCTGGCGAGGAAGAAGCGCTGCTAGATAAGCGCGGTGCAAAGTAACCTATGGTGTCACTTGGGTTTTAATGTAACCATGATAGGATAAATCCGAGAGGTTTTGATGTTTATATTCTGGAGTACCTGCCGTTTGCGATAATTGACAGTGACATGTTGGTTGGTACCAGTGTCAGGACCCTGAGCTGAATGGCCTCGATACCCCGCTAGAGCCCACACGTGCTTTGCCAAATTCACCACTAAGCCCAACACTCTAACTTGCAGCTCGATCTCGCATTGCAAAGTCACAACCAAACAGCCTGACAACATGGTATACTACTTCTCGTCAAACACGGTGTCTCCGTCGGCCTTTATTTATGTTGGCAAAGACAAAGTCGAAAGTAAGAAGCTAGACTGACTACCTCAGCTTTTGACATGGCCACACTACCTTGCTTGTCACCTGGGCGTTGGAATAGAGATCGCATGCTAACCCTGAGATAGATGAAGAGCTGATCAAGTACGGCTGGGACGAAGATGTGTGGTTCCACGTTGACAATCTTTCCTCGGCTCACATCTACGTCCGCCTACCAGAGGGCGAGGACTGGGAAAAGATGAACAAGGAGTTATTAATCGACTGCGCGCAGTTGACAAAGGCGAATAGTATTGAAGGCAACAAGAAAGACAACATTACTATTGTGTATACGCCGTGGAGTAACTTGAAAAAGGACGGTAGCATGGCTGTGGGACAGGTCGGGTTCAAGGATCAGCGCAAGGTGAGTATTATGTGCTTATAGAGTTTGCATACTAATTTGCTGGAATAGGTCAAGCGTATACATGTTGAGCAGAGGGAAAACGCCATTGTCAATCGCCTGAACAAGACAAAGGTTGAAAAGTTCCCTGATCTGCGCGAAGAGCGAGAGGCGAGGCGTGCCGAGTTGAGGAAGCGGGAGCAGGGTGCAATGCAGGCAAAGGTACTTGAATTTTTTTTTTGGATTACCTCGGTCCATGCTCTCACTATCTTTACTTTGACTTGACTTCGTTTTCATAACACCATCATCTCTTCTGCAGCAAAACTAACCTTATGCAGAGGAAAGAGGAAGCGCGCGTTGCCAAAGAGCGCAAGGAGCTCGCTTGGCGGAGAGACCACGCCTATGACGACGTCATGACTGAGGACCATCTCGAGGAAAGCAGCAATCAGAACCGCGACGAGAACTTTCTTGACGACTTCATGTGAGGCTCCCTTAATGCTCACGCGATCACGGTCTAGTGCAGGTGCGTGGCAGAAGGGCGCTTTGCGAGGGCTTCGAGGCAGCGGTACCATTTGTCGCCTCATCTAGGATCGCGAAGGGTCATTGCTGGCAGGCAAAGCCCCATGCTTTCGTTCAACATACAGATGTTGTGATTGAAGACATCGTATGCAGTTGTCTTGATCTCGAGTTCATCGCGGGTTCTGACATGTCAGCCTCACTGTGTTGGGCTCAGAGCGAGGCACGGGTACATACAGAATCTTCGCTTTGTGCCTTCCGTAGCCTCCTTGACTCTGCACCCACCATACAAACAACAAGTTCTTCACTATCTTGTGCTCTAGGCCGTTTTCTCTCGTGGCATACTGAAGAAATTCCAGCGTGTTTTGCACTTTCTGGGGCTCAAAGTCAGAGGCACTGCCGCGACGGAACGCCAGACGGAGGCGGTCACGCAGCGTGTATCGGGCTGGCTTGGAGAATTGAATAGCCCGCAGACTATGCCGATACAGGTGCCTATACGCGTGTAAGACTTGCTGTTGTGACATGGTGGCCGGGGCACTAACGACGTCACGCCTCACTTCTGCAAAGCGCCATGGTTGGGCGTCGGAGAAAGGTGACACCGGCGCCCCGTAGCCGCTTGCGTGGCGTGGCACAAACCTGGTTCGATCCTCTCTTCTCTCCTCACACTACACCACCCAACGCCCCGCCTGTGCCTTTGCATCCACCGGGCTTGTAGATTCAAAATCCGCGTCTTGGACCTTTGCGCGCCGTTGTGACTGCCTCGTTTCTCGTATTCATCGCTAATCCCGCAGCATCACGCTCCGTAGCTGGAAAAATCCCAGGCCACAGGAGCACTTTACTCTTCCACGGACCGCTGCGTCTCTATGATTTGCCTTGCACACCAGCGTCATGACCAGAGTATATCATCCACGGCCACAATATGCGTCACAGCGCAGCAGCACCCTTGAGCAGCCGCGAGCCGTCGCCAAAAAGAAGAAGCCCTACAAGATTGTGCTCGAAGCGGTAACGCAGGAAAAGAAGAAACTGCACTCGATCGTCCGTCTGCGATGCGCCATCGATGCACCGACATTTTACTAACGCGAGTGTAGTTGACGTATGCATCCAACGCGCCCACTGGCTTCGGCTTCATTCCCGCTGGACATCCAGAGTTCACGGAATGGTGCAAGGAGCAGTGTCGCCAGCGCAACCTCGACGTACATATTGTTTCGGTAGGCGTCGCAACAAACTCCGGCGGGCCGCGAGTAGCTGACAACCCCCCAAGGCCAAACCCAAGAACAAGATGCATTCCGATCCCGAGAAATTATCTCATCACGTCCACCGAGTCGGACATCATTTTCCTTTGCAGATTATCGACCTTGCATGCAGCAAGTTCGGGTATACGTATGATGAAAGCCAGGGCCTCCAGAAAGCCAAGGATGGCGACAGGACCAACTGGATTGCCCGGCGCTTCGAGGACTACTCTTCACGGCAAGTTAAACAAGGACGTCCCACGACAGAAAAGGAGACCAAAGGCTACATCCATGGTGCCGTTCGCGAAATGTTTCCCAAGATCCCTGACGATGATTTGCAAGCCATTGTTACCCATGCCTTTGAGGAGGGAACAAACCGGGTAGGTAATGCCAAGGAACTTTCATTGGCTCGTAGAGTGCAGCTTGCTGTTGTCGCCCATATTCGTCACACGTATACAGATTACGACAAGCTGCTCAAAAGTGGCGGTTGGATGGAGGCTCGGTCCAAGGTTGAGAGTGTCTCCCTTGCCAAACTCAAAGAGTGGCGCGACGAAGCCGATGAGCAAAGCAATGAGCTTGAAGAAACCTTCCGTGAGGTCATTGTTCTTGATGATGACGATGAACCAAGCAGCGATCGCCATTCCACGTCTACGCCTGATGAACGTGAGCAAAGCATGGAAATTGTTTCCAGTCGTGCTACTGCGCGCGATTTGCAACCCGAACTTCATGCCAACTACCCTCGTAATGATATGAGAGGTGTAGCAAGAAGAACAATTGTTCTTTCGCGATACCCTCCACCTCCACGATCAGGTCCATTGCCTGGCTCTTCACACCCCCAGCCATTCTCTCAGCTACCACCTCCACCTCCACCTCCACCTATGCACGCAACACTAAACTCTGAACCACGCCTAGGGCACCACGGCGAAGCATATCGCTATGGCACACACGATCTGAATGACAAGTAAGGAGTAGTGACATGTTGACTTCCTAGCCCCACTAACCACCACAGACGAGCAAGGCCAGCTGACTCTGGTACAAGCCAACGGGCCGAGCCTATTTTGCACGAAATCGACGGGCAATTGTATAAAGTGAGTCTTGAACAGGTCACGTCTCGTGAACACTACACGATCGTATTTCGTTCGTTGTTCTGGAAATTTGAGCTGACACCCGTAGCTTCAACCCATCAAGGAGCCACAAGATGATTCAATGATGCGGTATGACCACCCTCCATCGCGACGCATACAAGGCATGTATTCGCGTCCTGCATCCCCTCGATTTAGTATGCAGGAAAGACCACCCACGAACACAAAACGCATGGCAGATCACGATCTTGTACTCCCTTCTGTTGAGCGTGAAACAGTTGATCTGACTTCGCCACCACGCCGTAATACAAATGCACATCACCCAGTGCAGGATCACAACATGCTAGACAGGCACTACATTCAGGTACAGTCGCCAAAACGTAAAGCGCTGAATACTTTCACGGACGAAAGAGACGCCCAAGCAGACCAACAGCCGAAACGTTCAAGGCCTATGTATCGTGAAGAAATCCATCCCAGAACCTACCAAGGTGGGCCACTTGAGTTCCATTCAAGTCAACCAATGGGTCCTCTTCACAGTGCTCCACGACCACCGCCTCCAGAGCATGTCATTGATCTAACAAACAGTCTATATGGTCCGCCTACCAACAATGTCAGAGGTCAATATGTACCTCAACGACCTACTGCAGATGTTGATCCTCGTGGATACGTATACGCTCCTCCTGTAACGCATCGACAGCCTGCGCGCGATGTGAGAGAACCTCATCATCAGGTACCGGCTGGCGCACCTTGTCGTACTTACGTGCCCAATGCCAGGGCGTACGACAACCGGAATCCAGCCCGTGACTATATCTCGTTGCGAGACGGACGTCAGATACCTCGGTTCGAGGAAGAGAGTCTGCAATACATGAGAACCGGAGTTCGATATGGTGCTTAGGATGCTTTGATTTGCAATCAGCATAGTGGGCGGAGTTTTCGGTGTTTCCTATGGACGATACCCCCTGGATTCTTTTTTCTTTGTTATGCATCTCAGAGAGCATTTGTTTCTCATATTTCGCTTGCCGCATGCTAGTCTGCATTTTTGGCGTCTTGTTACTAGTGCATAGCATGGTGGGAGTCTGTTGCATCGAACAGCATCGTCAAATGATGTGTTCGTGGCGATGCCGCTGGACGGAGAAGAGACATCCAGTACAGACCATGACCGACAAGGCTGAGGTTCTCCTGGATGGAGGAGTATGAATACATAGGTAGAAATGAGAAGTACCAAGAGGTACCTTAAATACGATAACTTTCTATGTCACATTGATCCTCTACTCGCTATGTCTGATACCTGATCCTGTATCATATACGCACTTTATCCCGTCTCAGGCTTACTTGTGCATCTGCGCATACTTTTCTATAACGCCGTCCACCACCTTCTTGACCTCGGCCGCATCCAACTTTTCCTTCCTGTCCGGTGTGTACACCCCATTGACCTCCTGCTCAATATCCGTAAGTTGCGTATACACGAACCCACAGCAATGACCTCCATCCACTATCCCCACCATCATCTTCTCAATCCGCTTCAGCAAGTCCTTGGGATCCGACGCAGTCGTATACCCCCAATCCCTCTTCCTATCCTCCTCTCCATCCCCACCCGCACCAGCAGCCTCGCGTGCAATATTCACGCCCCCAAACTCCGTACAGATGACCGGTGCGCCAGGCGTATGCGTCGACCCTGGATCCCGCAGTTGTTGGATCGGCGCCAGAAACGTGGGGCGGTTAGATTTCGTCTTCATGATAGCATCGAGCGACGCACACGTCGCTGTCAGCTCCTCTGCATCAGCATAGTCATGGAACGTAGTTAGATCCGTAACCACGTGCTCCCAGCCACAATTGTCGTTGATAGGTCTGGTGGGATCGAGGACTTTAGTCGCGTAGTACAAGCTTCGGATGTGGTCTCGTTGCTGCTTGCTCGTGTGCAAATCCGTGTAGGCCCAGGATTCGTTTACAGGCGTCCACGCGACGACGCAGGGGTGGTTGCGGTCGCGGAGGACGGCTTCACGCCACTCTTGATCCATGCGGTCGACGTAGGTTTCGGAGAAGGCGTAGGCGTTTGCCATTTCGCCCCACACGAGGAAGCCGAGGCGGTCGGCGTAGTAGTGGAATAAGGGGTCTTCGACTTTTTGGTGCTTGCGGCAGCCGTTGAAGCCCATTTTCTTGCTGAGCTCGATGTCTTGTTTCAGGGCGAAGGGGGTGGGGGGTGTCATGAAGGTTTCGGGCCAGTAGCCTTGGTCGAGGAAGAGGGCTTGAAAGTAAGGGTGGTTGTTGAGGCGGAAGGTCGAGTTATCCCAGTGGAGGGAGCGCATGCCGGTTGTTGTGTGGATGGTATCGATGGGGGTGTTTTCTGAAGAGCGATAGAGACGGATGGTTAGGTCGTAGAGGGTTGGGTGGTCGGGAGACCACAAGGCGAGGTTGTTGAGCCAGGCCTTGGGTTCGGAGAGCGGAGCAGCAGATGTGAGGTTCTGTGGCAACTGCGAGACCTGGGTGTCGGTCAAACGCATGTTCGTCTTCAAAGGGACTGTGTCTGAGTCGTGGGGTAAGGCAGTCTTTTCAGTCTTGCTGATTAGAACACCGCCGAGGCTGGCCTCGAGCTCCACGCTGTAGTCATGACCTGCTAGTCTTCCAAGAACCTTGATGTTAGCTTCCAAATTTCCTCCTTCGATATCGTTACTCTTAAGTAGTGTGCCTGTACTCGCATCTCCTAGTCTGACAGCGGGAACCGATTCCAGCCACACGTTTTGCCAGATGCCTCCGCTAGGCGTGTAGAAGATACTTTCGGGCTGTGCCTTCCAGTACTGCTTTCCACGGGGCTGGGTCAGATCGTGAGCGGAATCGAAAACTCGCACCGTCAGTCTCTGCGTCTTCCCCTGTGCAAAAGCATCCGTGATGTCAACATCAAATGGTACGTGTCCACCACGATGACCACCAAAAAAACTACCATTGACCCAAATCTTGGCTTCATAATCGACAGCTCCAAATCGGAGGATAACAAGATCTCCAGCAGTCTTGCCCTGTTCAGATCTCGGATCCTCAACCATCCTTTCATACCACAGCACCTCGTGCACGCCCTTTTCGTTGATACCCGAAGCAGGGCATTGAAATACAAATGGGATTTGGATATCTCTTTTCTCATGCACAGTATGCTCGTTTCTGAACTTGTTGCCTTGCAGTAGCTCCTGCGTACCAGCAGCGATCTTGGCCGTAATACTGTGCGCCTCGCTGTTTTCGGCACTATTGGTATTGGTGGGGTTCACGGTGATCTTGTCCGGTAGTTGGGTCAAGTGCCATCCCTGGCTGAGACCAACGTCGTTGTCATCGAAGAGGAATGACCATGGACCGTTCAGGGATTGCCATGATAGATCCTCGCGGAGGAAGTCCGGGCGAGGGTATGTAGGCGGGGGTGTGGGAGGCATACTTATGTTGTGAATATGAGTGTCGATGAAATTAGGATGAAGTGTTATCTTCAATTGAGGGCGCTGTATATGTAAAAGTTAGCATTCACGTGAGATTCGACGCAGTAAGGTGGAGGTGTGGGGAGAATACACTGGGTCCAACACGTACCACGCTCATTTGGGACTAGGGCGAGTTGGATTACATCTTCCCCGCCCGCAATCTCCTACACACCGGAGCTTCTTCAATGCTCAGAAGAACATAGTATTTTATATTGCCAAATTCACCATACTAGATTGCTTGAAATTGGCTAGACATGGCATCATGACGAGTAACCAATAGTGCTGCGAATGTTAGTCTAGAAATCCCCACTCTGAACGTATTTATTGTGGCTATTCCGGAAATAGTGGCGTTGTTGAGGCGTTTCAATTCACTTAGAAATTCATGATGATCGTAAGTGCGATACTTATATAAACTAAATGACGATGGGAAAAATGTACGTGGTATTACATCGAAAAATGATGAACTATTATTTCATGATGTACTGAGCAGTTGTCCGAGCTTGCTGAGATATCTTAAGCCTGATTTTAATCCAGAGGCCAGTACTCGTGTATTCCCTTCTGGTTTTTCCACCGCATAAAATAACAGCAGAAAGGAAAGAACAGTGTATTCATTGCTCCCCACGCAATTAGAATGCCAAAGTCCAGACCAAGACGCGAATGAAGGTCGAACAGAATCGAGCGACTTCCTTCGACAACTGTCGCACGTGTTAGCTTCGACGAATTGCCATCTAAATAGAAAAAAAGCAGGAGAAGCAACGAAAATAATGGAAACTTACTAGAATGTAGTGGCCACGCATATCCCCACCTGTAAAACGCCGGTGCAATCTCAATGTCGTAGAACGAAGTAGAGACATTTGTGATGACCCAGAAGATCAAAAACAGACCCATCCACGGCATACCCACAACCATAGCAACATTCTCACATGCCAGACCTAGCGCAATCATACCAAGAAAGTTCAGCATCCAGTACACAGCGAACGTTGCGTGTCCAAAAGCCACTGGATTGCCTTCGCTCTCGACAGTAGCCTGAGTATGACTAGTGATCGAGTTGGTGTGAAAAAAGTTGATTTGAAAAGCCATACTGACAAAAGAGTAGGCGAGGGAGAGCATGAAGTACGCTGAGATGGTAGCGCACCAGCGCCAGACGATCAGCTGGGAGAATTTCAGCGGTGGGTGGTTGGTAGGCGTGACGTATTGCATGTGGATGGGCATATAGAAGGAGAAGCTGAAGAAGGATATGATTATGAGATCTGTTGTCGGTTGATCAATACCAAATTCTTAAGAAGTAGGTGAAACTACTATATTGGGGCGTAAGAACACTTACAAATGAGACCGATGGAAACAGCAGGAATACTAGTATAAGGGAAGAACGGCCTAAGATTGAATTCAGAAAATCCGATTGCGGGGTTAATCGCTTGCGGCACACTTTGCATGTTTGATAGGATAGATGGGTCGCTGGCATTCTGAAGCACCATCTGCGCCCACTGCCTGCCGACCATGCTCTGCGCTTCCGTCATGAAAGCGCTGATGAGTGGCAGCATGAAATCGTACCAATTTGTATCGTCTCTCGAGTCCTGGTAGATCAATTGGCAGGCTCCAAGGGGTTCGTAAGATGAGTTTCCGTTCGCAATGGCAGAGTACAGCAAGGCGCTGGCGTTGGGGTTGATGACAATGGCGGCCCAGGCATCCCATTCGTACACTGCCTCCCGGACACGCATTGGGTCGTTGTTGAAATCTGAGGCTGGGCGGATTCCCCAGCCTAGTGTCGGCTGGCCACTGCTTAGTTGTTGTTGGACAAGTTGCATAATGGCTGGTCCGACGAATGGCGCATTCCCAGTACTATCGTATGGTGTGGCACCATCCATATCTACGACATAAACCAGCAAGTGATCGAGTCTTTGCTCCACTTGAAAAAAGACGCCCCAGTATATCGATAGAACAGCGAGAACAAATGCCATGAGAAACGAGGTCGTAATGATCCATTTCGCAAATGCGCGGTTGCGGACTTGTCGGAGATCTGGGTGCCAGAAGCCTACAGGTTCTTTGTTAGGCTCTTGGGACTTTTTCTCATTTCCGTTCCCATTTTCCGCTTCAGTGGGTGCGGTTTTCCCGCGTCCGGTTTCTGGGTGACCGTTTGTGCTCTCCTCAGCATTGATTTGCGCCGGGGAGCGGAATGCGCGTGGTAATCGCATTGACGGCATAATAAAGAGGCGACAGCGAAGGCAATTAACCAACACTGATATTAGACTTTTTTGCGCAATAGAAGATTGCGGGCTGCCAAGGAACGAAGAAGCTTATTGTCATTCGGAAAATGCATGGCGATGGGCTATTGCTTTTATTATGGGTACTCGCCTGAGGAATCGGTTCTCAATCGTATAAAATCTATGACGTACGTAGAAGCAGAATTCGTACCAATGTTTTCATGACGTTCTGTATCTGCCAGATCCTAGCTCAATGCTTAGCTCCGCAAATAACGAAATCGAGGTCTAGCTCTGCGCCACAAGTGCTCTCGAACGAACGGACTAAAATGATTACCAACCGCGTCTACTATATGTATGTAGTGGCAGCAATTTCTCATACTTGTATTTATCCAGCTATCACTGTATCATCTACAATCAGTAGCGTCTTATTCTCTTTTCTGTTTCGTATTTGAAAGACTGATTGGTATATTCTAACTAGGGTTTGCTCACTCTCGAGAGTGTATACGTAGGGATTCTCCTTCCACAGTGCAATTTCTGCATCATTCGTTCATCATTCATCGAGTCGCTCAAGACATGCCTGCCGAGCCTGACATCGTCAATTTGGTGGTCTTGGATATCTTTCCCCACAATTTCGCATGACAAAGGAAAAACAAAAGGGTATTGTGCTCATTAAAGGGGTATAGGGTATATTGCGAGGCAAAACGCCACGCCTTTCAGTTTGTCGTCCATCATCCATGATTACTTCTTCGTTCTTTCCAATCTAGTCGTAGTAATCTTCGTTATTGCTAACATTGAGCAGTGTTTGTGTTTGTGTTCATGTCGTATCTGTCTCGTGTGTACGTTCGTATTATATTTGTCGTTCAAAGATCGGGGTCTTCCTCTGTTAAAGTCTCTGGTCCCGAGAGGCACTCGCTCAACTGCACCATCCTGTTTCTGCAGTGGATGATGAAGATGGCGATGGCAAGTGAGTTCCAGACGTCATATCCTTCCTTGTTGAAATCAAACATAGCGATCAGTCGAAGTTGGGGCTGATCCCTGTCGTTGTTGCCGGGAGCATAGCTGACGAATGCCATGACGGAATGCGATGCTGTGATTCCGTAGAGTGTGGGCACTTCTGGTACAACAGAGTCTCCACGTTGCTCAGCCTCGCCGATTTTCAAAGCATCGTACCATAGGTCGTGCAGGCGGCCAAGCTTTTCAAGCATTTTCTCCTCACCTACACTCGGATGTACGTGTCGAGAGAAAGTGACAGTTTGGAACAGTGGAAGTTGAGACCAAAGATGGTCAACTTTACCGTCTTTCATTGCCCACTTGGTGAACGCTTTCACTGCCTTACCGATCTGGAATGCCGGGGTCCGCTTTGCTCGCGTGTGCCAGGCATCTCGTACGAAACCCCCGAGATCGAAGAGCTTGTTAAGAGCATGTTGTGCTTTATAGTGTTAGTAAAGGCAATCGCGGTTATCAGAAAGTCGAGTACATACCACCGTATTCTGTGCCGAAGGCAGGTTTTATAAAAGCCTTGTCAAGATTCTCGGTAAAAAGGTCTTCGGGTAGAGTTTCGAAATCGTTGATCCACCCAATGGGGAGGAGAGGCTCGAAGCCGCGCATCCCAAGCTTCTGAAAAAGAAATACCGCGTCCTCGGACCAGCCAGAATCGCGTAATTCCTGTCCCTGCTGATCTCTTCTCCTTCGCTCCTCTTCAGCATTGATATTCTTTTGCTGATCCATGTATGTTCCATCGTCCACTACCATGGTCTCCTCATTCGCGTCCCATTCGTCCAATGAGGAGCCCTCTGCTCTCTTACCGGGCGTAGTGGGCGACAAAGGCAACAGCGTATCACCTTCTAGATCATCGGAGAGCATGGCTGAAGCGGGTGGAGAGGGAGGCAAAAGTGTCGCATCGATGTCGCATCGAGGACTTGGTGATCGTGAGTCCCGAATCTTGACTGGCGCATCCGAGCTTTTCTCCACGATCGAGGGGTTAGCAGCCTCTTGATGAGCATCTGTAGTCCGAGTAGGCACTGCAGGTTTTTTGAAGGAATAGGGCTTGTCTCGCCGTTGCTGGGTCTTACGCGGGCTCATATAACTCCAGATGCGGTCAGACACCCCGCGAAGGAAGGCCATGACGAAAGACGGAGACTATTTTCGACGCGCACGAGCGTGTTTTCGAAAAGAAGTGCTCGGACTAGAACGAAAATCTGGGTTGAGCGGGGGTCGAGGTGTTCAATTGTCGTCGTGAGGGCGTGTTGCGGTGAAGGCGATGGTGATGGTGAAGCGGACAGGTGCACCTTTGAGGCAAGACCCAAACGATGTCTTTGTTCCCTTTTTTCTTGTAGGTGACCTTTCACCACGACTTGTCAAAGACACCGGGAGCGAGGACGAAGAGTCATTGTGAAAAGAGGGCTGGGGGGCTTATGTCCTGCATAATGCAGGAACAAGGACTCGCTGCCACGCTGTCACATGCGGGCTAGGCTATGATAGGCTAGCCTTGTTTTAGCATGCAGGTGCGGTGAGGATCTTATCAGATGAACTTTTAACCCCACCAAATCTCTAGACCCCACCAAAAAAGAGTTGAGCCGCGTCTAGAGGCGATCCTCTGTTCCTGACTTCTGTCACTCAACATCCTATTATTCAACCAGCAACATGGCTGTTACCGAACAAGACACACAGGTCGTAACCCTCCGCAAGATCCTCACATCGGAATCAGAGCCACTCGCCCGACGATTCCGTGCTCTCTTCTCTTTGAAGTATCTAGCAGGCCTGAACCCGCCTACCGAACAAACAGTCCCCGCGATCGAGGCCATTGGCGCTGCTTTCTCTTCACCGTCTGCTCTTCTGAAGCATGAGCTCGCCTACTGCCTGGGTCAATCTGGCCATGATGCTGCCATTGCGCCGCTGAGGGCTGTGTTGCAAGACAAGGAAGAAGACTCCATGTGCAGGCACGAGGCTGCGGAGGCACTCGGTGCACTAAGCGACAAGGGGAGTTTGGATCTACTGAAGCAGTTGAGAGATGATGCCCAAGAGGTCGACGTTGTGCGGGAAACTTGCGATATTGCTGTTGATCGCATCGAATGGGATCATGGGCTACAGAAGGGACAAGAGAAGCTGAAGAAGAGGTATGTGTGCAAAGAGTTTCAGGCTATGTTGTATATGCTAAACACTGTACAGTGATTTCACGTCAATCGACCCTGCGCCGCCGCTACCACAGGGCACCGAGAAGCCATCGATACCAGAACTTGAAAAGACACTACTCGACACATCCTTGCCTTTGTTCCAGCGGTACCGGGCCATGTTCGCGCTACGCGATCTTTCCTCGCCACCCGACCTCCCGACTGCTGTCCCGGCTGTACAAGCGCTTGCCCACGGTTTCAGCGATCCTTCTGCTCTCTTCCGCCATGAGATCGCATTCGTTTTCGGACAGTTGTCACATCCCGCGTCGATTCCCAGTCTGACAGAGGCACTGAGTAACACAAACGAGGCTAGCATGGTCCGCCATGAAGCTGCGGAGGCGCTGGGCAGTTTGGGTGACGAGGAAGGAGTCGAGGAAACTTTGCGCAAATTCTTGAATGATCCAGAACAGGTTGTACGAGATAGTGTAATTGTTGCGCTCGATATGGCAGAGTTCGAGAAGAATGGGGAGATGGAGTACGCAATTGTGCCACAGGTTGCTGCGGCTTAGAAGTGGTAGCATGTTGCATGAGCATGGCGTTTGGGTTATATAGAGTTCAACGAGGCCATTGTACTTGTACAGCCCAATTCAGTTGTTCGTGTTCCACCTGTAAGATAACTATCAGTACGAGTTTGAATTTGAGGGCGCTTGCGCAAACATACTTGTGACCGCAATCACACTCGTAAAAAACAGTGGTTCCTTCATCTGCGCTTCGCAGTTGTTGAGTGTAGTATCGCACTTGCTCTCTTCCACATTTTTCGCATGGGTGGTTGATTATACTGGTGGTTTGTACGTCTTCCTCCGAAATGGTCTGCACCTCGGATCTCTTCGCGCGCAGGGAAGAAGGAAAAGCGGTAGGCTTGGAAACAGTAACGACAGTCTTCGACGACGTATCTTTATTATTCGCACCACAGACACCGCATGTCAGGACTATGTTCTGTTGTTGCTTCCCCACAGAACCGTCCAACAAGTTACCGCAATCTGTGCAAAAGACAAGAGATCCTATATACTTTTATAAGCAAACGACTTGCATTTGGTATACAGGTGGAGCATTACTGACCAATAGCTGACATGGTGGGCAGTGTATTGTTGTGAAGGTGTTGATGAGCGTGGAGATGGAAAAAAGTTACGGGGAATCGCGACTCCCGCGGCTGCGCCAAGCTAGTCCGAAAGGGGTAGGCGGTCAGAACGCGTCCGACTGTCAGGACGATTCGATCATAGGTACTTTCATACCGAAGCCGCCACAGCGTAGCAGACAACAGAGCGCATCGCTCGCGTGAAGGATCAGAGGAGGGCAAAAGGATCGCACCATCAGACGATGCACGCTGAGACGTTGAAATAGCGATTGTTCGACTCCGCCCCCAGAACGTACACTGTCGGCGCCTACTCTACGGTTGTTTGCTCCTCCGACTCCTCAGCCCATCAAGCGCGACCGCAATGAATGGAGATTGGCACAACATCAACGGTGGGGGACTCCCATTCCGGAGACCCCCTCCCACTGTTGACGATGCTCTCCCATATTCGCCCTTTACCTCGATTATCCCATTCTCACCGGGTCAGTCGCTCTCCCTCACCTGCCCATCTTGGATGCGCCAGGCTCTCTCACTCATCATGGCAGAAGACTGATAGACAGATAGATATAATACCTTTCCCTACGGCCAAGCCTCCGACTCCACCCACAACCTTGACTCCAGACCAACAAAAGGCCGCGAAGAAAGCCGTGGGCATCTTGAACGACGAAATCGAAGGCCAGTCTACTGCGCAACACCTACACGATACCTTGAAGCAACTCCGCAATCTTCTCCATCGGGACAAACTACCAGAGTAGTGA